TCATGCATTAGTGTTATACCCCGTATAGTTTTATTTATTTAAAATCCTTAATACGAAATGTAGAATTGCGGATTTAGTTTATCTCGTTTCTTTTCTAATACATCAAAACTCCTCTTAATAATTGAAATTATTACATTATCTTTTTATAATTTCATAATACCAACTTGAATTTTACTAACAATAAATTTTGATACGAGAACCACGATCAGTGGAATGTGGTAATAATTTTATTTAAAATTTTTAAAGTCCAAACGAACTACGTGGACTTTGATCCCGTCTAACGGGTACGTAGGCAACCGATAAGGTTCGAGTCCAACTAACCAACTAACTTTATCGTTTACGTCAGTGGACGTACAATTAAATTACCATTAATACGATTTAATTTTTTTTAATGGTCCAGTGGGACCCTAAGATTACAAAATTGTTACTAAAATACACCCAACTTGCATAAAAACTTATCGACTTAAGTAGTACCGATTTAGGGCGTTGTGGGGGTGTTGCTTAACTTCCCCACACGTAACCGTACTCCCGAACCCAGAACTTTATTTTCGCAGACCATGCCTCGGTTCTGACACTAAGGTTAGAGCCGATTTGAAGAGTGTTCGATCCACTCCAAATAAGATCGATGGCGACTCCTAAAAATGCCGATGCGACGACATTCGGACCCCCCAGAGGGACGGTTGCGACATTACCATGAAAGCCCTTGGTCTGGAAACAACCTGCCATCCCAAAAGATCAGTTTCTGTCATGGCTCATCATCACAGAGAAAATATATACATGTGATAAGTTGCTCAAATGGCGATTTACAGGGACTGTTGCTTGCTTATTGTGTGATGCTGCTTTGGAAACTAGAGATAATTTGTTCTCTACTTGTTCCCGTTTTAAATTCCTTTTGCAGGGCTTTTCCAGTTGTTCACAACAAGAAAGGCATGGGATAACTGGGAAGCTGAACAGAAATGGGTTGTGGAAAACTTCAAGGGTAGATTAGTTAAAGCACATACTAGGAGAGTTATCTGGCGAGCTATGGTTAGTACAATTTGGAGAGCTAGGTGCAAGGCTTGTTATGCCTCTGTTCTGCGTACAAGGGAAGAAATGTTAAAGAAGGTGTAGGCTGATGTGGAGGTGATTGTTGGAGCTGATGCTATGGGACAATTTTGGATTCCTCTCTCATAAGTTTTGTTTGACTTTGACTATAGGTTACAATATATATTTTCAATATAATCATAGAGGTGTTTGTTTAGTCCCAGTTGGCAGGGGTGTTGCCAGCAAAGAACAATACTTGCTACCACCGATCCATAAAAAAAAGTATCAATATGCAATCATGTTGTTTGGATTTTAATGAAATGAAACTTACTTCAACATATGTCTAGTTTCTTTGACAAATATTTGTGAAAATAAGCTAAAGTTGTTATAAGCTAACACATTCATAATATATTGTTCTTCTAAAATTGGTTATACAAAGGAAACCCTGACCTTACCTTAAACTTTAATTTTGACGATAAAACTAGTGAGTTAGGTCGGGTTGGACGGGTGGGTCAGTTTGCGATTTGTTTTGTTCACCTCTAGATGTAACTAATATTAAGGCTAAGATACCTTAGGATATATTGGCAACCCCTAAGAAAGAAGAGGGTGTGTAACTGAAGGACTTGACAACATGAAACATTGCGTGTGTGGCTAGAATCCTATGGCTTCTACTCATGCATGGGTAGTATATTGGTAGCATGGATCAGTAAATACAAGATGAAGGGTTGATCTATCTAGGGTCTGCCAGTTACAGTAGTGGCCAGTGGGTTTGTGGATCTAGAGAAAACTACTGATAATAAGAGCCTAGTTAAGGAACATGATACTGACCGAGAAGCCAACCTACGTTGTCCAGCCAAGAGATCGCGGGCCAAAGCTGGAAGATCACGAACGGGAACTAGGACCTTTTGGGAGCCAACTTCAGGAGAAAGCGTCAGAGAGAGAACATAAAGTTTTGCTATGTGGATTCATGTCACGTTAAACGAAGCCGCGATAAAGATCGCGACTGTGAAACCAAGTTCACGACCACAAACTCAAGGTGCGATCTCTTGCCCTGTAGAGACTATACGACGAAGCTAAATATCAAGGGCCATCACGAGAGTGATCTTACAGTCCTTGGCTGTGAACTTGCTCGAGTTTTCCAGGTCCTATAAATAGAAGAGTTGTTGCACGTTTAAAGAGGAGTAGACTTTGAGAGAGAAAATTGGGGTTTTAGGCTGTCTTTAGAGAGAGAAACACATCGGGAGAGCTTAATTGAAGATCCAATCCACTCAAGGAGCAAGGAGAAGGTGCAATCCAAGGAGAAGAAGATGATTTCCACCATTCTTACTCTTCTTAGTTTGTATATTATTTCTCTCTCTATGGCTTGGATTCTTATGGTTGTTTTAGTAAAGATGAACCTTAGTTTATACTGTGTGGGTTTGTGTATGGATTTGTTTGTCTCATTGAATGTAAGCTTCATTTATGCTTGATTAAGCTTGGCTTATGTCTCCCACCTCTTCCCTACTATCCAACAACTGAGTCAACAAAAATAGGTGAGAGTTTTAGGGTTAGACTGAGAGTGCCTTAGCTAATTAGGGCTAGATGAATGATCTTAGAGTTCCTTTTACTAGAAGAGGTGACTGAACCCCTATTAGAGGAATGCCTTCCTGAGAAAATGCCAGAGTTGATGATTCGTGTCTATTTGTACATTTTTTACCCCCTTTATCCTTAGATGTTTGAGGTACTTTTACTCTATGAGGTTCGATTTTATGCTAGGTTGTTTTTAGTATGTTTAAGAACCTAGCAGGTGAAATCAACCCATGAAATGAAAGTTGGGCGAAAAGGGGCAGAAACCGGTCAAAAGGGAGCAACAATAGCAGTTCACGGTGGAGGCCAGAAGTTCATGGTCATCCGGACCGTGAGGAGGAGGCACAACTCGTGAAGAGCGAGGAGTCCAGAAGGGTTCTGTCCATCTCGCGGGCATAAACCAGTTCACGGTCACTCGATCGTGAAGGCCAGCTCCAGACTCTAAAGCACCTTAATGAAACGACGCATTTTTGCTCGACATCACGGGAGGGGCGGAGCCAGGATTTGGCGGTTGGGGGGGGGGGGGGGATTTCGTACTCTATAATCGTAAATGGGCATTAAAATTTATTAAGAAAATATTTTCAATATTATTATTACTTTTATTTTTTTAATGATTAAAGTAACTCAAAATAAGATCTAAAATTTCTAACATGATAGGTTCACTATGTAATAGAAAAATTAATTAAACTGCATTTCAATTTTCTAACACAATTTTATTTTCACTCAAAATAAATCAACACTAATATCATGGTCAATATAAATTATAAAATAAGCAAACAAATTAATGTGAATTTCAAAATTATGTAACCTATTTATTTTCAGAAGTGAAAAATAAATGCCTACTTATATTAGTATTTGAAAACTATTTATTCATTATCACTTTCCAACAATGAATTTAATCACATATGGCTTAAAAAGGAAAAAGGTGTGTATCACTTTTTAATCACGAAATTGTTCATATCTCACTTAAAAGGAAAATGTGTTATGGACATAATAAAAAAATGAAACAAAATTGTTCATATATCACTTAAAAGGTGTGTATGACTTTTTAATTACGAAATTGTTCATATATCACTTAAAAAGAAAATGTGTTATGGACATAATAAAAAAAATGAAACGAAATTGTCCATGTATCACTTAAAAGGAAAATGTATTATGAACATAATTTTAAAAAACAGGCTTTGAACACCTGATCTTTAAGACTCAAATGTTCTTGTTATCCGCTGGACGGCAACCAAATTAATATGATACCATTGCACACTAACATATTTAATTGTTCTTTAGTTTGTACGAAATTTTCAAGATACTCGAAACATTTGCACGGTCCGGGCCAGATACCATTGCACACTAACATATTTAATTGTTCTTTAGTTTGTACGAAATTTTCAAGATACTCGAAACATTTTCAAGATACCCCTGCATCGGTTCGGGCCAGATGTTCACGGTCGTGAACTGGGACCGTTAAACGGCGTCGATCTAGGTATATAAAGGGGGCTGAGATGAAAGAGAAAAAAGAGGAACCTAGTGAGAGAGACTTCTTCTTTTTCTTCTTCTTCTTCTTCAGATTTCTAGAGTGAGAAAGTGACAAACAAGAGGAGAAGAGAAGTTAGGGTTCATCCAAGAGCTAGGTTTTGGGAATTTATTCCTCCAAGGTTGATCTCCACACCACAATGAAGAAGGCAAACATCTCCAAGATGGTTTTCCCTCTTCTCCCTTGTATATTCCCTCTACTTAGCATGGAGCAGAGCTTTCTTTCACTTGGGTGTTTGTAAACCCTAGATACAATTATGTGAATGTTTGTATGGATTGAATGGCTTGTGTGTGGTTGTGTTTTAATACAAGTTATGAGGTATTTTCATGAAGATCTGTGTGTTCTTATGTCATTTTGACCTAGGTAGGAGAAAATCCCCTTCTTGTTAAGAGGCTTGTAAAAACTGGAATTCCTTAGCCAATTTTGTCACCTACCTAGGGTAAATTAGGGAAAATCTCTTAATACATATTAACACCTTTGGTAGGTTGTAATTTGGTCGTCCAAACTATAGTTCGGGGGTGAAGTAAGCAAGCCTTAGTCGATTGGGCCAAGAGAGCTACCTTGGTAGCTTGATTTGATATCCCTTGGCCTAGAGACCGAGAGAGTGACGGCTGTTCACTTGTTGCACTTCCCTGTGGTTTACAACCGGCTTTATCACACATTTGCATTCAATCCAGCAAATCATGATTGTTAGCTAGGGGGAGTAACACCATGGTGAAGCCTTCTCAATTAGTATTCACACCATTTACTTTTCTAATCGTCTTAGTTATAGATCGTAGTTTTAACCAAAAACCAATTGCTAGATAATGTTTCAAACTATCGAAGTAGAGGTACATGGACCGACTCGGGTTTGACTTATAAAACCTACTTGCCCTATATTGCACCTGGTTAAGGTTTATACTTGGGCTTTAATTGAGTTTTTTATTGTGATATTCAGGACGAGTCAGTTGATGCAAGTGTCATCGATCCATCGCTTTATTGTGATATTCGGTACATGGTTGCTTGCTTTATTTTTAGTTAGGTTCGATTAGATACTTCACCCAATCTTCTGATTTGATTAGATAGTAGTTCAGAGCGAAGTAATAATAAGTTTAAAGTTCCCTCGGAATACGAACGAGCCACTTTACGACATCCCTAGTTTAGTTATACTTGGCTTTGTTAGGATTGACTACTAAGTGTGATTTGACTTATAAATTTAAAGCTCGATCCAACACATCAGCTATGCATAGGAGAAATAGGAAGACATCACCAATAATACACACATCGATGATGAAAACTCGTCGAGCTCAAGTAGGGCTTCGCCTACTCACTATGGATCTCTAACTCGAGGTATGTGTAAAGCTCCAGCATAGCCTCATATTTATACATGTTACATAAGGGGATTTTTAGTCATTTTCTCCTAAATTCGGCCAAAACCTTCCTTGTATGACTTTGAACTCAGATTCTTTTGACTTGGGCATGAATTAATCTTGAAGAGGAAGTTTCTGTATGGCTTGGACCCGAACCGTGGCGGGATGAAGGAGGCACTGCCATAGGGTTTTCTTCTCTAAATTGGCTGGTTTTTTATGGCAACTTCATCTTGGGGGTCATTGGGCTGCTCCTAAAACTTCAACTCGCTTGGACTTCGTTTGACCCGTTTGCTCTTCAAAATACATTCTTTTGTCCATAACTTGAGCTTCTGATGTCATAATCCATCTCCATTTGAAATGGGATGCCCAATTTGCAACTCTCATAGGAAATGGGATGCCCAATTTGCATTAAGATCCCACCAAGGGAAAAATCTAAATTATCATATTCTACCTCATACGCTTTGGTTGGGTCGGGAAACACCAAGATTGGTTCTTCCATCACCACTTTCTTCAATGCCTTGAACACTTATGGGAATTGTGACATCCAGTCTCTTAACTTGTTCTTGTTGAGGACTCTGTCATGGGTGTTGCAATGTTGGAGAAGTCTTTGATCAAACACCAATAGTAGTTCACCAATCTGAGGAAGGAGAGTCGTTTGGTGGCTCTCACTCCTTGATTTCTTTCACCTTTGACCCATCCATCTTCAAACTTTCCTCCTCCATTGATGTGCCAATGAATGACACTTCGGTAACGACAAAGTCACACTCTCTTTCTTCATGAACAATTGATTTTCTCGTAGCACTTCCAAGACTTGCCACATGTGCTTGATGTGGTCGTCGAGGGTGTTGTTATACACCATGATTTCGTCCAAGTACACCATAAAAAATTAATCCAAGACGAGCTTAAACACTTGATTCATGAGATTTCAAAAGGCGACAAGAGTGTTGATCATTCGAAATGGTATAATTAGAAACGCATATGAATCATACCTCATCACACATGTTGTTTTTGGCTTGTCTCATTCTGCTATCCTCTCGTGATTGTATCCCAATCGGAGATCGAAGTTGGTGAACCATCATGAAACTCCAAGTTGATAAGATGCTATGTTGGGGGCTAGCCACTTATTCCTTGCGATGATGTGGTTGAGTGCTTGTTAGTCGATGCACATCCGCATTGACCCATGTTTCATCTTTCATAACAACACGGTTGCTCCAAAGGGAGACTTTGAAGATTGGATGTATCCCACATCCAATAATTCCTTCAGTTTCTTCCTTAGCTCCTCCAATTTTGGAAGTTACATGCGAAAGGGAGCCCCGATCTCCAACTTAATTTATGGTCAACTTCCCTCCTTGATGAAAGTTTTTGGGAAGCTCTAAGGTCATCACGTCTTCAAACTCTTATATGCTCCTTATTTGTGGATTTTCTCCATTTTTAGGCGCCAACGAGTGTTCTTCCATCTCCATCTTCATCATGGCTAAGAATGTGGGCTCCCTTCTCTTCACACCTCTTGATACCTGCATGGCAGAAAAATTTTATGGGGTAGGGGATTCTTCTCTCACCATTTGGTATTGCACAAGCTTTCCCTCCGTCGATGATGGAAATGGTTTTGGCAAAGAAGAATGGGACATCTCGGACGTTGTTCATGAAGTCGATTCCAAGGACTATGGGGTGATCTCCCATTGTGACAACATGGAACTTTGCTTCTCCTTGACAACCACCGAGTGTCATTGGGACATTGTGTGCAACACAGTAGATTGGTATGGGTTATATTTAACGTTCTTCAACCATCCTCTCTTCTTTTCGAACTTGATTCCGAGTCTGGCTGCCTCCTTAAAGTCGAGAAAGTTGTCGTTGGCTCCCACGTTGACCAGAGCCTTGATGTCTTTGTTGTTGACTCTTGTTTCCACAAAACATTGACATATCTTCTTGGCGGTGGATATGTCGACCTTGACGTTGATTGCACTCGACGCTCGCAAGGAGCTCATCTTTGATTATTCTTCCTCCTCTTCCGCCTCGTCTCCATACAACATGGAAGCTGGTAAACTTTTTTCCCGAAAATCACAAACTATGTGTGAGCCTTGGAAAAGAAAGCAAGAGATGGGTTTGTCGTCCCTCCCTCCCTTACTTACTTTGTTAGGAGCGTCCTTCTGTAGCTTGTTGATGGTGATCTTCACACTATTAATCGTCATGTGTCCCAATTCTTCTCATAAGCGTACACGAAATCAAAGTCTAGGTTTCTTCAAGCGACTGCACTGCATGCATACACAGGTTGAATCTTTCATTTGTATACTTGTATAATTCACTTTGTCAAAGATTGGATTAAGAGTTTTAAAATTCATCCTCTTTTCTCGTGCATGATTATAAGCACATACATCGGGATGATGCATTGTGTGCTTCAATTTATGATAATGTCCTTTCCTCTTCGAATTCATCTAATTCAACTCAACATGAGTTTTTCCCACAGAAAACAGATGGGTTTAGAAATACCCACGCATGTTCATTGGCCCAGTTCCATGAAAAATGTTGTCTAGTAATAAAAGAAATCTTAAGATAAAGGATGGGATCACCATTGTATTATGTCTGGTCCCAAATATCAATTTGTTAATTTTTCTTCGACATTTATAAAATTCACGAGACAAAGATCTGATCACATTATGTTCAATCCAGTATGATCTGGTCCCAAAGTCGACTTGGTCGATGCACACTCCAATACGACTACCCAACTAACATAATAAGATATAAAAAATGTCTTGGGTTAGGGTACAAAACCATAATGGATGGCTAAAATTGAGAGGAAAGTGATTTAATGACCATTTTTTCAAAGGAGGGAGGAGAGAAAGTTTGGTGAGATAGCTAACTGGATTTTTCGGAGCTGACGTCGATCTCTAGGCAGCAGCTACTACACTTTTCAAAATTTCTACTAATATTCAACTGAAAATATCTCATTCGTTTTACATCAAATTTCAAAATTGTTTGCATAGCAATATAGTATTTTTTGTGCTTTACGAGACAGATCTCCATTTTGAAATTCTTTAAACAAAAAAATTTGAGGCCATCATACAACTGTCATATTTCCACTCACAGTGATTAAAATGAACGGATGTAGATTGAGTTTTGTAGTAAAATGATTTGCACTCTATCCTTTCCTTTGTTACAATAAGTTAGAATTCAAACTATTTATTTATTCGGAAATGATTATTAAATGTCATTTCTAACAACAGATTATTAAATCAGAGAACGGCTTATTGGTTTGTCGACACTCGACCGGCTCCATTATCGCGCCTTGTCGAGTCATTTTTAGTGGCACTCACTCGGCCAACCGCATCAACGCAACACAGCAAACCAGAAGGGAAAGGGATGGAGGTTGGAGGAGTGAGAGGCTTTCGAATTTCTTTCCTTTCGGCTTGGTAGTTCTATTGCTCTTCTTCTTCCTTCCGACTCCACACAGTAGTACTAATCGCACGATAAACAACTACAAAACGCCAAAAACCACAACCACCAACGAACAGTATAACCCTTTCTGAAGACGAGCTCTTAGTTACGTGACAAATCTGCCGCTCTTAGCATCTTCTTCATCCAAAGATACCATCTTCGGTCTTTCCCCTCATTGGGTATCTCCCATTCCCCATCAGTTATTTAACTATATTTAGTCCCTTCTTCGTCTTGAATTCCATTCCCTTCAATTTCTCCGCCTTTCTCTAGGCCGGCACACAGAAGCTGAAGAAGTAGAATTAGCAGCAGAAGAAGAAATCGGAGGGGAATTTTCCTGTTTGAGCTTCTTCAGAGCTATGGCCGCTTCTTCGATTCTGTTTCCCGCGAATTCCGTGACTGGAACCAGAAGTTGGGGGAAATCTGGATTCCTGTTTTCCGGGCGGCGACGTTCCGTGGCTCAGGCTGTGAGGAAGGCTCCTGGGTCGGTTTCTGTTCGCTCTGCTTTGGACTCCTTGGAGGCGAACGTCTCCGATATGAGTGTTAATGGTAATTCTCAAAATTCTGCGTGACATTCAATCTGAATTTGGGAAGACTTTGATGTGAGTTTTTTTTATTGGGTTTGAGGGGTCTTTCGTTAGAAGAGCTTGAATTGAAGCATTTTGCTGGGTCGTGAGTGGAGAATTTCCAGTCCTTCGTCTTATTTTGATGGAGAAGGATGGTTTCTATGTAGGATTCTCACATGCTTGAAATTTCCAATCGTAGAATGATGCTTTGTGTTGTTTGCGGTGGGTGGATGTAGACTATGTTCTTCTACTGCTTACACGTTGAGGATTCGGTTTTAAGAATGCAGTGTTTTCTTACAAGTTTTGAGTATTGTTCCTCTGAGTTCTTAACTTGCTTTTCACCGATGGTATCGCTGTTTGCAGCTCCGAAAGGGTTATTCCCACCTGAACCCGAACATTATAGGGGGCCTAAGCTGAAGGTAGCTATAATAGGCGCCGGGTTAGCTGGGATGTCAACTGCTGTGGAGCTGTTGGATCAAGGGCATGAGGTGGACATATACGATTCGAGGTCCTTCATAGGTGGTAAAGTTGGTTCATTCGTTGATAGAAAAGGAAACCATATCGAAATGGGACTCCATGTCTTCTTTGGCTGCTACAACAATCTCTTCCGCTTGATGAAGAAGGTAAAACAAGAGGCTGACAACTGTTGCTAGTATCTTAGTTCTAGTGGCTAAGTAGTTCTTCTGTCTGTAGTATCATAGAACATGTCGCCCTTCACTTTTCTGATGAATTCAGTTCCTTCAACTGATGTAGGTTATGAGAGTAACATGTTCCATCGCTGAAAAACCATAATACTCGCTTGTTCTGTTCATGGGGTTTAGAGTTTAGACACGTCTTAGTTGGTACTGGGGGTTTCCTTAACAGTTGCCTTATGATACCTATGGTTGAATGTAGGTGGGAGCTGATAAAAATTTACTGGTGAAGGATCACACTCACACGTTTGTGAACAAAGGGGGCGAACTTGGAGGTATGGTGGCTCCTTATCTAGATATGGAGTTTGCTTGCTAAACATATGTTGTACTTGGACTATGATTGACTTAAATAACTACAAATTTTTATTTGCAGAGCTCGATTTTCGATTCCCTGTTGGAGCTCCATTGCACGGGATCAACGCATTCCTGACCACAAATCAACTCAATGTAATTCTAAATTTGGATGAAAATGTTATCTATTGGGGAAAATTGCAGTCTGGAATTGGAGAGATAAAGCATTATGATAGTACAAACTGCCTCCCCCAGGCTGCTAGATGTCACCGTATAACTATGACGACATTTGGTTTCTAATATCATGGTGCCATTTGGTTGCAGACCTATGATAAAGCAAGAAATGCCGTGGCTCTAGCCCTAAGCCCGGTCGTGCGAGCCCTAGTAGACCCGGATGGAGCAATGAGGGATATAAGGAACTTGGACAGCGTAAGACACTAGCATATGCATAGCTTTCTTATCTAACAGCTGCTGCATAATTATACCCTTAAAGATCTAGCATTCTAATCTCCCTTCTCTCCAGATAAGCTTCTCCGACTGGTTTATATCGAAAGGAGGCACACGGACGAGCATCCAACGAATGTGGGACCCTGTGGCTTACGCCCTTGGGTTCATCGACTGTGACAACATGAGCGCTCGTTGCATGCTCACCATATTCTCTTTGTTCGCCACAAAAACCGAAGCTTCCTTGCTCAGGATGCTCAAGGGGTCGCCTGACGTTTTCTTGAGTGGCCCCATAAGAAAGTACATAGAAGACAGAGGCGGGAGGTTTCATCTGAGGTGGGGATGCAGGCAAGTGCTCTACGAGACTTCTCCAGATGGCGGAACATACGTGACTGGTCTTGCTGTTTCGAGAGTACGTCTCTCTCTGGCTCTCCTCAATTGAAAAGGATTGGTTCTATTTTGCCTAAGGATGGCTAACCGGTTTCGGTTTTCTGGTTAATCAACTGATTTAACAATATGTGAAAGGGTTTTGGGTTTTATCATTTATGTTAACGAAGACAAAATGAAAGTTGGTTTATACCAAGTGTGAATAAGTTTTTCGGTTTCCAGTAAACTGTTCATATCTTTCGTTTTGGCAAAGTGATAATGGTTTCCAAAGTATGAACTCCATGATGGTTTTCAATTCTCGGGTTTTGTTTGCTTGATTTGACCGACCCGGAATACTGCTCCTAAATTTTTGCTATTTGGATTTTAATGAAATGACTGTTTTCTTTGAGCTTTTTGCAGGCTACTAACAAGGAAACTATCAAAGCTGATGCTTATGTTGCAGGTTGATGAATTCTTCTTCCTTATGATGCTCTCTTTGGTACTTTCCGCCCCAATGGTTGTCCTAAATTGATTCCACTTTTCTTCTGCAGCATGCGATGTCCCTGGGATAAAGAAACTGCTCCCTAAGGAATGGAGGGAGTCAAAATTCTTTGACAACATCTATGAGTTAGTGGGGGTGCCTGTTGTCACAGTTCAACTTAGATACAATGGCTGGGTTACTGAGTTGCAGGATCTCGAACGATCAAGGTGAGTGCGACTGACTCTCTTGCTTAATTTGAAAGTGTGGACAGGTTTCCTTGTTTCATTCCTTCCTGACTTCGGTTTCCATTCACTGGAAGAAGGCAATTGAGGCGAGCTGCAGGGTTGGATAACCTTCTGTATACACCGGATGCAGACTTCTCGTGTTTCGCTGACCTAGCTCTCACTTCTCCTGAAGACTACTACATCGAAGGGCAAGGTTCACTGCTCCAGTACGAAACAGAACTCTTAAACTCCTCATTTAGACATTTACTTGAATGAATCAGGTGTCGATTATATGCTGAATGTAATGACTTCAACGAAAATCTGTCTCTTTCAGGTGCGTTCTAACGCCAGGTGATCCATACATGCCTCTAACGAACGACAAGATCATAGAGAGAGTCAAGAAGCAGGTTCTGAGTTTGTTCCCATCGTCCCAAGGCCTGGAAGTCACCTGGTCATCTGTAGTGAAAATTGGGCAATCGTTGTACCGAGAAGGACCGGGCAAAGATCCATTCAGGCCCGATCAGAAGACTCCCGTGAAGAACTTCTTCCTTGCTGGCTCATACACAAAACAGGTTTAAAAAAAGTCTATAACTTTTGGTTCCTAGCTTTATAAATCTTGGCACTCCAGAATGTTTTCTTCTAACAGTTTGTTGTTTCCTAATTTGATCAGGATTACATAGACAGCATGGAAGGAGCAACATTGTCCGGCAGGCAAGCTTCAGCCTTCATTTGTCAAGCAGGGGAAGAGTTGGTCGCACTAAAGAAGACGATAGCAGCCATTGATGAATCTCAAGGAAGCTCAAACTCTGCCTCGGTCCCCGACGAACTCAGCCTTGTATAACACAAAAGTTGGTTTCTTGGTTCATCTAGTATAATCATGCCCCATCCATACAACAGAAACGTCATGTAGCCTGTAATTCGCCCACCATTATCAAGAAAAGGAAACTCGTTTCCATTATTGGAATAGTACAAGCATTTTTCATACAAGCATTCCCTCTACTTGATCAACTGGTAGCCATCCTCAGCTTCTTTGTCAATGGCGGCCTCGGCAGCTTCCATTTCCTCATCGAAGAAAATGTCCCACTTCCCTTCCCACTTGATGAAGAATTCCGTGTCTTCAAAATACTTCACCCTGTGAACATCTCCCGCCGGAGTAAACAGATAATCGCCGGCGACGAGATCGTACTTGGCTTCCTTGGTCAAGTTCCAGACCCTCTTGCTACCTTTCATCACCAGTAGGTCGTGGCCGAAAGTGTGGTGGTGCGCCGGCTCCACGCTGCCGGCTTTGAAGCTGACGATCGCCGAGGTCGGGCTCTCTCTCACGATCTTCATCGCTCCTCCGGGGATTATCTCGATCGGGTCCAGTTTCCTGCTCTTCGCCAAGCAGCAGAGCGCGCACGGCGTCAATTTCTCCTCCGCGGCGGCGGAGGCGGAGGCGGCGCCGATTTTGGGCATTTCGATCAAGGAATTGTCAAGGAAGGATTCGATTTCGTCGCTCCAGGGCTTGAGGTTGTTCGCCGGGCAGGGGGCCTTGAAAGGGGTTGTGAGCCACGTGTCCAGGATCTCGATGGCGGATTCCGGCGGGGTCGAGATCCCGGAGACGGCGAGGACGTTGGAGTTGTTGATGGATCGGGCGTTGACGGCGTCGGCGGGGGAGAGACACGTGGCGGCGAAGACGCCGAGGAACTTGTTGGCGAAGATGGAGACACCGGCGCCGGTTCCGCACGCGACGAGGCCGCGTACTTCGGGGGAGCCGCTGGCTGCGGAGACGCGGCGGCCGACCTCGGCGGCGATGGAGTAGTAGGAGGAAGTGCCGAGGTCTTCGACGTCGATGTTGCCGAGGGACTTGAGATGGGCGACTAGAGCGTCTTTGAGAGGGCGGCCGAAGTCGTCGGCCCCGGTTATGATTTTGAGCGGAAGGGGAGGCGGAGCGGCGGGGGATTGATCGGCCATGAGTTGCGGTGGCGGGGATTCAGCGGCGGCGAAGTAGTGAGTTGTGGCTTTCACTGGATGAGTCGAGAAGGAGCGAATATAAAGTAGATATTTTATTACATCACACCGTCCCCTCTTTTTTGTCGTCTGTGTTTTTGCTTCTTTTTAACTTTGCAGTTTTACATTAATTAAGAGATCAACTTGGACAACCTGTTGTCTAGATTCAGAATCTGGTGCGCTGTGACAACTCAAATCACAGTTGTTTCGTCAATTTTTACATTTTTCTCGGAATAGGTTAGCAAGGGACGGATATGGTGACAAGGGGTTGTCAGATTCACAATCAAGGATATTTTTGGCATGAAAAAAAGAAATATATTAATTATCTCTTTTATATTAATTATATTGGAAAATAAAAACTCATATTAAATATAATTTTTTTTGAAATTTAAATCTTATACATTAATATCTCTATCTATCTCTCTCTCTTCCTTTCTCTAGCGGCCACTCCGCATCGACCGGCAAACTTTTTCTCCGGCGAATTCTCTCCGGCAGACTCCCTCCGGCAACCTGAAAAAATGTACCAATGCGTTAAAAAGTGTACCAATCTATTAGTCTACTGGTAATTAATATACCAGTGCTAGTGGTACGCTACCAGTACGTTAAAAAATGTACTAGTACTAGCGGTACCAGTAAAAAATGTACCAGTACTAGTGGTACGCTACCAGTACAACGCTACCAGTAGAGAATAACACAACGCTACTAGCACTGGTAGCGCTACCACTAGCATTGGTAGCGGTACCAGTAGAGAATAACAAAAAAAAAAAAACAGATGATAGTGGTACCAGATGATAGGGGAACCACTGGTATTGGTACCAGTGAGTAGTGGTAGCGTACCAATAGCATACTAGTGGTATTGGTACCAATAGCGCTTAGAGACTATCAGATCTGGAAAAATATAGGGACGAGGAAAGAGGGAGGCAGGGAAGAGTCTTGACCTCGCGGCGGCGGCATAAAAATGGTGGCGGGGTCAGCGTGGCGGCAGGGCGGAGAGAGGGGGAGGACAGCGGCGCGGCAGGGCGGCGGGGACAGCAGGCGCGGTAGGGCGGTGAGGACACCCGGCGCGGCGGAGATCAGGGGTGGCAGTGGGCATGGGAGAGGAAGAGGGAGCTGCGGTTGTGGTAGGGTTGTGGCGGCGGAGAGAGGGGGATGAGAGAGGGGGAGGAGAGACGGTGATGTCTACAGGAGAGACGAAGGATGGAGGAGTTAGGGTTTTTGTTCTTTTTATATGGTAGGGTGAATGATTGGGTGTGGTAAATTTTTACCCTTCCAAAAATATCCTTTCTTTAATCTTAACCATTAATTTAAAAAAAGAAGAAAGAGACAGGAGAGAGAGCGTATCCAAGGGCTGTGAAGTGGGTTGTGAATCTGAGGGGTTGTCACCGTATCTCGTCCCGGTTAGCAATTATCATACAACCGGATACAATTATCAGTTTATACAGATTTTGACAAAACATATGAGAAGTGAAAAACCATCGATATATAATCTATCTTAAAATAATCTACATATAATTTTAATCTATATTTTAATAAAATACTACATTGCAAACAAAATAAGAAATCAACATATTTTTTTATCGGTTTTAACTACTGCTTTAGCTGGTGATATTCCAACCGATTTTTATCCTATATCGGTTGGACTGGGTTGTACTAACTGCCATCCCAGTGGTTTTGACAACCATGCTACAAAGGTTCCTCTGTGGTCATAGTTGTCATCCCAAAGCTCTGGAGGAATTTTCACAGGAATAGTGGTAACAATAACTTAGATTACTTTCGTGTATTCATCAAATACATATCATATTTAAATAAGTGTGACAAATTGACATCTTTTTATATTTTTTTAAGGCCTGGTGCATTCACTCACCATAAACACATTGAAAAACATTTCTACGGTGAGCTATGGTCATTGATAGGGGTGTGCAAATGGAGTGGTTATTATGACACTGTTTTCTCCCCCCGCTACCAAGACGAAGAGATCCATTCGTCGGAGCCCGATAACAAACGTCATTTCAAACGTCTTTTTTGGCCAGTCAAACCATCTATTGATGGTTTTGGATTTTGTGTCTCTGTGATGCAAGTGGATGGAACATTCCTTACCGGGAAGTACAAGGGTTGTCTCCTGATTTCCAATGGAGCGGATGCAAACAAACAAGCATTTCCTTTAGCCTTCGCCATTGTTGAGGAGGAGAATACCGAAAGCTATGCATGGTTCTTCAGACAAATACACCTCCACGTCGCTATGAGGACCAACTTGACAATCATCTCTGATCGCCACGTCGGGATCAGAGCTCCCATCTTAGGGTTGGATTCAAACTAGAAGTGGTCCCAGAGGTGTTCATACGACACTTCAAAAGCAATTGGAACCATCATGTCAAGCAGAAGAAGCATGCTGATAATATATGGTGGACCGGTTATCGGTATACCGTTCACGACGTGGGAGCACTCGATTACCGATACCAATTTGTAACCGGTTAACCGGTTACCGAATACCCGGTTACTAGTTATACTGATGACACGCCAAAACACAACACCAAACTGCGACCAAGTGTAATCGCAGTCCGGGAATCCAGTAAAGTGGCAAGTCCTATTATCAACCCGGGGTCTAGATCTACTGCTTACTCCGTGATTATCTATTATCTAGCCAACTAAGTCAAGTGATTGTTGTTTTAAGCAAAAGCAGAAAGAAAGCAGGAATTGGTACGGTTTTCTCAAGCAAAGAAGAGTCACTCGGGAATGAGTCCCCCTAGCTCCTTAGTTAGGTCTCAATTGTAATTACCCTGGGTTGATTTACTGTTGATTAGACTGCGGAAGATCCGACAGTAGCTTGGAATCTCTTAAACTGACCAAGCCCTCTCAGTCTAACTACCTGGCAGACGACTAGTCTTCATCGGGATAGAAAGCTGAAGCAATAAGCACAAAACTCCACTATTGGAATTGGATTCCAGTACAAAGCAGTAAACTGGCTAACTCTCGTATAGCCAATCTCCTACTACCGAATGAAGAAGCTCTAACAACCTAATCATATTCTATCTATCTCAGGTTGCAGCAGAAATCAAGAAAAGCTAATCAGACTTCAATCAATTCAATAAAACATCCATCATTCGATTAAAACCAAACACTATAATCATCCCAAGTCATTACAATCAAATCCCTAACACATGGAACTAGGGTTCTTCATACCCAAGTGAGAGAAGGGTTCTACTCCATAGAGAGAGAGAGGAAAACAGAATACAAAGCAGTCATAATCATAACAATGGGAAGAATCTGCTATGGGATGATGATTTCCACTCCTATGACGATCTCCAAGCTCGATTTGATGAAACCTAGCTCCAAGATAGCTTCTAGGATGTGTTCTTCGTACTTTCTCTCTCTAGGGCTCTATTTTTGCTCTGAAAATCCGATTCCCTCACTTGTGGCCCGAAATTGGGTAAAAACCAGAAAATCCCGATCACACAGGCAGGCCACACGGCCGTGTGGCATACCCAGTTGCCCGTGTGAGGTCAAAACGCCGCGTTCCGATTATGTGGGTTTCAGGCTTCCTGCACGGCCAGGGGCACACGGCCGTGTGGCATGCACAGTCTGCCCGTGTGAAGCCTCGCAATATCCCACACGGCCACATTTCTCCTTCACACGGCCGTGTGAGATTTATTCCTGCCCGTGTGAAGGCTCGCACAATCCCACACGGCCACATTGGTCACTTGCACGGCCGTGTGGGTTTTGTGTGTGCCCATGTGGCTTCCTCAGCGACTTGCCTCGCGCCCGATCTTCGTCCAATCGACCCCGAACTCGCTCCTAAACCTTCATTCACTTACTAGGGCCTGAAATATCACAAGCAAGCACAACCTAGCGAGAAATCGGCCTAAAACACGAGAATTATCATCTCAAACGGCTCTAGAATAGGGGTAAAAACATGTGCAATTAACAGTTTATCAACCGACTAACCGCGAGACCCACCCTCTCCTCTCTTTCTCATTCCCGCTACCAGACTCTCTCTCTCCCCAACCCTCCCCAGACCTCCTCTCTCTCTCTTTCACCTCTCCCCAGTCCCCAACCCCTCTTAGACCTCCTCTCTTTCTCGATTTCCTCTCATCAGAGCCGTCCCATGATATTTGGAGGCCTTGTTCGAAAATTTAACATGTGACTCCTAATTTTTTTCTCAATAAATTTATTAAAAAATTATAAAGTACATAAGTTCATAAAATAATTTCAAAATGAATAAACAATCTCACTTCCTGTTTGACCAAGAAACCAAGCCCAAATTCTCACTCCTAGCAGGGAGGGAGAAAAGTAAATCTGGAGGGAACAAAAAATGGATATAGAGCAAAAATTGAATGGGGAAATGAAAATAATATAAATTGATCGAGAGGTGGGTGTGGGTCTATCTAATGAATCGTGTAGGCCCTATTCCAAAATTGAGACATGATCCAAATTGACTTTTAACTATAATAAAACTAAAATGATTATAATACCATTATTCAAAATGTAATATCTTTCTTTATTGTTTAAATTAAAATTATCTATTATCTCTCTCATTTTCGTATTCTCCATGAGATCTTTTTCAATGGTTATTATAGCTAAAATTATCTATCAATCATACACTAAAAAAACAACCTGCAATATTCGATCGGTAACTAACGAATCTAAGTGGAGGCCCCTAATATTCGGAGGCCCTGTGCCGGAGGGCGGGCTGGCACACCCTCTTGGCCGGCCCTGCCTCTCATCTACCCAACCCGACTCCAATCGCCGCCCACCGCTTGATGTCACCTTCCTCTCTCGATTCAAATCCAGATCTCCAGCCGACACGACAGTTCCTCCGCCATCTCAAGCTTCCCCAACCTGATTGGTGGCCTTTTCTGAGTCACGAATCAGCGGCGGCGGCAAGGAGAAAGAGGAGATGGGTGAGGCGACAACCATCCCGCCGCCATCTCGTTGTAGCCCTCCCCTCGCTCCTGCCGCTCCCACCAGATCTGGAAAGATTGAGTTTTCCTTCTCTAGTCCACGTGCTCAGATCTGGAAAGATCAAACCTCTACTTCGGCTCTTCGACAACGAATCGACGACGGCGCATCCTTGGAAGGCGAGGTCGCGAACTGGGTCGAATAGAGGTAGAGCGGTGGAGAGGGAGCCGGGGTCGGAGAGGGAAGGCGAGGTTGCGGAGAGGTGGAGGCGGCGTCGGCGTTGGACAGGGAGAAGGGTTGGGGTGGAATTTGAGCGAAGGGAGGCTGTCGGACAGGGAGAAGGGTGGTTGGATCGATAGATTTGTTTAGGGTTTCTGTCACTCCACTCCACCCCTCGATGCCGGTATCAGTATACCGGGAAACCGTCGGTATTTACCGATAGAGGAGCCGGTATACCAAAATCCTTCGAGACACTGCCGAATACCAATACATCCCGGTTATCGGTACGGTTATCGGTTAAACCGATAACCGGGAAACCGATTACCACCCCTAACAATGCGCCACTTTCTTAGACGCTTTATAAGGAGATGCATGCCTAAGGAAATGGGGTCTTAAGCGATTATCTACAAGGTTGTCGCATGTTGTTTGCCCAACCCACCTTATTATTAAGGCAAAATACACTTTCATAGCCATAACTATTCGCGTTGTGACAAATATAGCCACTTTTTGAAAAATACACTCGTATAGCCATTCCGTCCAAAACTTTAACGACAACATCTTAAATGCTGATTGTACTAACGTTTTCTGAAGACGTGGCACTTTTTTGTTTAAATCAATCCTAGATGGAAAGTTTCCTTTCTTATTATTATTATAATTACACTAAAAAGTATAAATAAAAATAAATAAAAATTGAAAATCGTCCTTCATCATCTTCTTTTACCCTTCTTTCCATCTACCCAACCCCGCAGACCCATCCCGATTCTCTTCCCCATCGTCCATACATCCACGGCCTAGATCATCTCCCACGGTAGAGATCTCTCAAACGCTTCTTCCCCTGATTATGATTCTAATTCCTCCAATAATGGCGGCGGGGAGCGGGGCTCGTCTCTGCTGCTGAAACCCTACAGTAGGTACGATGCGCAATTGCTTGCTATGCAGAGCAACTTGAATGCCTACGAGATTGCGGAGCTCCGTTGTGGAGGAGAAAAGGGACGAAATTGAGAAACTGTTGACTGAGAATGAAGAGCCGTGGGGGTGGTGGTTTGGAGCTGAAGAAGGTCGTCGATCCGTGGACGTCGACCATCCAGATCTCGCCGCCGAGGAAGTTTTCCTTGGAGCTAGGAGGAGGCCAAGGAGTCACCAGCAGCCAAGGAGTCAAGGTCGCCAACTCCAACAATCTCCTCCGACGCTGCCACTGTCGCGAAACTCCGCGATTTATTCAGTTCCTTCTGACTTCACCATTGGATCGATTTATCCCGTCGCGAAAGTCGTTGTGGACTTTGCGAGAATTACAAAGCGGTGACGGTGACCAACAGGACTGACGGCCGTTCCTCCTCTTCTCTTCTCTCCTCGTCTTGTTCGATCTGGCCTCCCCTTTCCTCTCACATCTTGTCGGCGACAATTCCATATCGAAAAATTGAAGAACCCTAATCGCCATTGAACTTACTCCTTGAAAAATTTCAGATCCAGAAACTGAAAAACCCTAATTGGGGCACCTGCCACCATTTTCACCATCAAATCCTCATTGAAAATCTTTTATTTTGGTTTTTGGTAAAAATTAATTATTTCATGTTAAAAATTACTTTTAGTATGACGTGGCATAAAGATGTCCAATTGGCGACGATGTGTCGTTCAGGTGGCATCCACCTCAGCGACACGTAGATGTTATTGACGGTGTTAGTGACGATGTTAAAGTTTGTAACAGAAATGGCTAAAATTGTTAAGCAAGTTTGAAAAAATGGCTATATCTGTGTATTTTTTAAAAAGTGGCTATATTTGTCACGACGCGAATAGTTATGGCTATGAAAGTGTATTTTGCCTATTATTAAGAAAAATAATGAAATGTTATAACTAAATAATTATCTATTGTGTTATGGAAATCATGAATGGGTACGAGAAGTTTACCTACAACCATAAGCTTGGCCTCTTAGGGGATGATTGATTGGCCAATCCTTGTCGGGACGTTGGACCGGTGCAATCCATGGCAGATGCTCTCAAGCCCAAAATTGGATGATGAACATCGCCCCACCAACCTCCTTCACAGCTTTGAGAGATGCATTACACAAATCATGGTAGATATCAGCTAGGCAAGCGGTTGGCCAGCTCAAATTCCCCATCTCATCCCAATCACCAAGGAGGATCCTCAGTCACCCACAACTAATTAAATTGTTGGATTACTTGGGGAAGAACACTCCTCCGATCATGCCTATGAGATAGAAACGAGCATATCTTTCCTTCACCGCCTTTGGACTTTCCTTAGTTAGAGGGCTCCCACCTTTTGCAGGGTCGTGCAAGTCCTTGACATGCTTTGTCAACCAAGTAATTGATACTTGGTTCTTCCTCAATGGTGGCAAGCAATCCTCCGTATCAACGCTTCCCTTGACTGGCACTCGGAACCCCAACACGCTGTGGATAAAATGCTCCCAACCAGTCATCCCGCCAACATCCGGTTGTGAAAGATCGCTAGCACACACCACATTGTCGTCGATGGGCAGATGGGTTAGGACGACGATGTCCTTTAGTGTGATGGTGCACTCTCCTTCTCGATAGTTGAAGCAATGTGTCTCCTTTCGCCATCTCTCCACCAATGCGATGATGAGTTGAAGGTCGATCTTTATCCCTAAAAAGTGCCTAATCAACTCCAACCTCGCCCTTTTAAGAAAGGACAAGATGACGTCGTTCCATGGGAGCACATTGGTCGTACCCCTACAACGGATTATGTGGTATGCATCCTAGCGAAAAATTTAACTTTCACCATAAATTTATGATATAATAAATAATTATAATCTATTATAACAAACAATTTAAAGCAAGAAAATCAAGGTTTTTTCCAATATATATATATATATATAAATATTTGAAATTAATAACTTAATTTTGTACACACATAAATCAATGTAAATATTTTGTAAACCGTATTGGTTGTTTTCAATAATTTAATCCAATACAATGCAACTCTTGTTAGACTCTTAGAAGAGGTATACATCTCCTTAGAAACACAACATTTTTGACAGAAAAATGGACGAGGATCGCTTAAAACCCGACTTTCCCAGGAAATGGGGGATCATGATAATCTCTTAAGCCTCATTTCCTTAGGCATGCATCTCTTTATAAAGAGTCTAAGTAAATGACGTATTATACTAGCCCAAACCATTAAAGATAATCAATACGATATAAAATATCAAATTTATTTTTATAAACCACTAAGTACGTTAACAAAATAAAAAAATGACAAATGAGGAAGTGTTATTTGTACCCGATGATCGTTCCAAACATCTCTTGAACGATTGTTAGGTTGGTCGTACAACACGCTAGGATCAATCGGTCATTGATCAACATGATATTGTTGGTTGTATATATCCACGTCGTCTCCAACCTACGAGATAACAACAACAAGGTTAATTAGTGAGTATATATATTAATTACAAAAATTATAACAACAACAAAAATTTGGTAAAATGAGTACGTACCGCTTGATAGTCATCATGGAAAATACCTTGTCTTAGCACCAATCATCCATTTTTTTCAATGAGTCGGATAGAGTTTCGACGGGTTTTGAGGGAAAACCAAAGACCATTATCTGGTTTTCCTAGATTTTGGGAGGGGGGGGGGATAATTTTAGAGAGAAAGAGAGAGGGTGTGAAAAAATTGGAGAGGGTGTTGTATAGCAAGGGGCGGTTTTGTAATTTTCACACCACAGAAACCGCACCCCTAAGGAATGATTCGCGTTAAACGAGGTATGAAATCGCTCTTTCCGCTTGCGGTCTTTAATCCCTGATGCGGATTGTTGCGTTGGTGCGCGGTCTGCCGTTGAATCGCTTCTTTATCAAAAGGTTAGGAAAACCGCCGCTTCCCAGCTGCCCCTAACGAAGACCGTGTCGTCCGCACACGGTTTCCCTCTAAACCGTATCCTCCGTCTGCGGTTTCCACACAAACCGTCCCTTGAGCGTGCGATTTTTAATTAAGGGTGCTAGTTTTGAAATTAGTGTGGGTTGGATGCTATTTTTGTAAATTTTTTTAAATGGTGCTATTCCTGAAAAATTCCCGCCGTTTTCTTGGTAGATTTTTTTTTTTTTGAAGATAAATTGTGATTGGTTTATTGGTTGCTCATGTGGAGGCATAAGGAAAGTGTATCAGAAAAAAAGGAAAAAAAGGCAAAATAAAATGAATCTGATATAATAATAAATTTAAAATGACGAAGTCTTTAATTGGAAAGTGTATCAGAAAAAAAGGCAAAAAAGATAAAATAAAATGAATCTGATATAATAATAAAGATAGGGGGATAACCCCTCTAAATTCCAATGCTATTTTACTGTTGAAAAAAAGAAGGAAGGGAATGGCGGGAATCCTTCCATCCTCTCCAACCTTAACCGTCACTCAGTCTGAATTAATCTCGCAGAGGCAGAGTGCTCACAGATCTCGAATCCGATGCAGCTCGTCATCCAGCGGATCGGGGAACGGAAGCAAAGGCAACTCTAATACTGGCGAAGACAGGGCCAGGATTGGCGAAACGAAAACCCCTAAGATTCTGAAATTGGCGGTGAGCGGAGTCACCGAGTTTCTCAGACTCTTCTCTTCCCCCGGCGACGACCGGTAAGCAAGCTCAACTTACCTGGTCCCGTATTTCTCCGCCGATGATCCTTACTAGCCGCCCGTTTGATTACGGTGTAGATTGGGGGAAGTGGGTAGCAGCGGTAGCGGAGCAACAGATGAGGCCGTTTCGATTTTCAACGCTGATGATGTCGTGAGAACACTCAAGATTGATTATGAGAATGCTTATTTCGTGACAGGTGTTCTTAATGACGACCCTCAATTTCTCTCTTCTTTGCTATTGTTTGGATGAACTTTGCCCACTAATTTTAATTTCTGCTGTGAGATTGTGCTAGGGATTTTCACGTCTGCGCTCTACGTTGAAGATTGTCTGTTTGAAGATCCAACTATTAGATTCAGAGGTAATTACTCACACCTTGAAGCTCTGTTGATGAATGAAAGGGGTTGAGATTGACTGGTGGGGTGGTAGATTTATGTATATTTAGGGTTTAGCTCTGACACTGTGTAGTAGTTTGACTAATAAGTTGGTAATCTGTGCATCTTACCTTGATTCATTAGGTACTGAATTATATGCACGCAACTTGAAGTTACTGGTTCCTTTCTTCGACCATCCATCCATTGGGCTACAAAGCATTGTGAGGGTCAAAAACCTTTGACTTAAGTTGATTACATGAGCTAATGATATGTTTTATTGATCAAAGTAGATAACTTGAACTCGTATGGACCAGGATGTGGATTCCGGGACAAATTCCGTGCTGGCGACTTGGAAATTGAGGTAGTCGATAACCCCGAAAAATTTTATGTGATAAGACCAATCTCCACAAAATGTCATAAGATGATGCATTGCATCGAGAAGGGGCTGAGAATTGTGCATGCTGTGTCTTTCTTCAGAAGGACATTTTGTGGAGATTGGTCTTCTAACAAAATTTACTGTTTCATTAGGGAGTGAGAGTGAGTGTTTGTCAGGATGATTTTGCAGGACTTACCTAAGATTTCCATGGAGGCCGTTCATTTCAATTGTTGGAGCCACCGTCTATGAACTGAATGAAGACTTCAAAGTATGTTTAGTACCAGCCCTCTTTTTCCTCTGCAGCAGTGTCTGTTCCTGAAACCCTGAAGCTTTGGCATTCAGAAACAAAAGTCATACTGTCAAATCTGCAGATTGTTAGGCATACAGAGAGCTGGAATGTCTCTGCACTTGGAGCAGTTGGGCAGATATTCACTCCTAGCTTTGACAGAAGACCCGGTGAACAATAACAGGGATCTCATTATCCTACTGATAAACTGGAAGGATAGCTAACAAATATCTGAAGATCCCTTCCTCAGCAAAAGTTTGGCTGTAGTTTTGGCCTAACTAATGACTCAAACAGAGCGATGTCCAGATTCATGGAATCCTTAATTACATTTAATCTGTCTAAATGGTGACTATTATTCTTCTTTCGCACTGGGTCCTACAAACCCAAAGTCGAGTCAATGTTTGATTGCACATTTTAAATTACACGCATCCCAGGCCTTGAATCAGTCATTAGCTCACAGGTCTCCACAACATATTGCTATTTTGCATCTCTTTCATCAAAACATCTTCCTAACTTTCACTTCCCAGGAGATGGAGAGTTTAACCTCCCTAAAGAGAACTGGGTCTTCCAATTTAATTTTTGGTAAGTGCTTAGATATAAAATATGGTGGGTTTCTAATCTCTTTCGATTTTATTCTAAAGCTTCTAATTTGTTTATGTTTTTTTCCTTTCTTGAGAACAAATTCCTACTCGTTTAAGAGAATGGAGCTGTGCCTGTGCATCAGGTCCAGTGAAGGAACAGCAGTCTCCAAAGCTTCTTCGCAACCAGAAGTATCATCGGCAGAACTCAAATCTCTCGTCAGCACTTTGCTGGATTCCGCAGACCAGCAACCTTTGGAGTACGAGGTTTTCCCGAGCTTTAAAGGTCCAGACATCCACAAAAGCTTTGCGGATTGCCTCTACAGTTGTCTAGTTCATTCCAACATCCGCACTTTCAGGGATGCGGAAGAACTTCATAAGGGTGAGAAGATTGCCCCTTCTCTCATCCAGGCCATCAGTAATCAAAGGTATATATCCCAATCTTCACAAAGGGCTATGCTTCAAGCAAATGGTGCCTCCAGGAAGGCAGGAACTAGCTAAGATGGTTGAGTGCTGCAATAAGGTAAGTGCAGCTGATTCTTCTCTTGTGATGACCTCACACAACACACCAACACGTCTCCTTTGCTCTTCTTCAGTTTCAAGCCTTCTTAGAGCGTGCGTGCATGGGTGGTTTTGGTAATCCAGACTTATTGAGAATACAACTGTTTAGCTGATTGTCTAGCTCATAAGGGGCATTTGTTGTCATTAGATACCCATGTAATTTCTCTTTATTATTCTGACATTAGTTACTGGCCCAAGATGATCTTTTTGAATGGGCAATTCGCCGACGTATTTAATTTTATATAGGTATTATATGGACCTATTTAATATTATAAAAAATTATTGCTCGAATGCACGCTTGAAAACTACAAAATCCATACCAGTAGAGTATTGAATGATGTATTTTTTTTAAACTATGTCTAAGTGTATTTCGCAATGTTGATTGTAATTAATATGATTTTTTTGTAAAAATAAAATATTAAAATTTTGAGTTAAGACGAATGATACATGGTAAGTTATAAAATAATGGGGGATTAGTAATTTAGAAAGTATAAGAAATCTATATCATTAGATTAATCTATTCGATCCTATTTTTGTGTTAGCAATATACTAACACTTTAGGTGTTATTATCTATGTTTGGTCGGATTTTTAGAACTGTTTTATACTTTAAAAAATTAAAGTGAGTCAAACACTTTTAAAAGCTCAACTATTGGAAAAGTTGAATTTTTTTTCTATGACATAAAAGCAAAAACTCTGATGGTTGCTTCTACGAAAAATTATTTTGAAAAAACAAGATTATTCTTACTATTTTTTTAATTTTTTTCAAAAATCATAATTTTCATTCCTTTTTGTAATTTAGAATATTAAATCATTTATAAAATAATATTATTTATTATAAAATCTAACAATCTACATTTTAACTACTTCTTAATTTTTGGATTTATATCTATATTTTATATAGACTTCCTTTTTAGTTTTGTTTTTAATTGTTATTCAACCAAACACAACTTCTTTTAAGTACTTCTGTACAAATTCCAGCTAGAAACTGATTTTACAAACACTAAATAATTGGCTACTATTTTGTATTTCGATAGTTGTGGCTATTATTTCTCGTTGGTTAATAGGTCTGGCTAATATATTGTATTTACCTTTTTTTATCGACAATAAAACTTTAATTCTAGCTCAACCTAAAATAGATATAAAAAAGAAGTTCAAAGATTATGATAAAGAATGTTATGGGAAAGTATTTTACATCATCTCTAAAGTAATGGTACGTACAATACGTTAATAGTTATAAATCCGGTAAAATTAATTATTTTAGATATATATTAATTAAATATGAATATTAAATATGTATACGTGTTAATGAGTATTTAGTACTAGAGTCATCAAATGAACGGGTAAAATAAAAACGGTTTGGTGAACAAGGGTTTGGTTCAGTGGTATTTACCACTGGTCTTGAAACTGAAGGTCCCATATTCGAATTCTTTAAGTAGCACCCAACTAAAAAAACAAACATATATCACCATTATAAAAAATGATTTGGCAATGACACGAAAATGGAAGTTTTAGACGCATATAATGCGTATGTACATATATACATATATTAAAAAAAGTATTTACTAACTACATCAAGTATTTTTTATGTTATACAGCAAGCAAGAAATACTAACAAGTAACAAACTATAGCATCCAATTGAAAGAATAAACCTATATCACCATTGTAAAAAAAATGATTTGACAACGACGCTAAAATGAAAGTTTTGAAGCATCTAACACACTTCTAACAACACAACGCAACTGGTATAAAAGCAAAGAAATGTGATCATTAAAGGCCTATTAGCTCAGCTGGTTAGAGCGTCGTGCTAATAACGCGAAGGTCACAGGTTCGAGACCTGTATGGGCCAATATGTTTTAGTGATTGACCATCATTCATCATTTGTCACCATAACTTACGGTTTTCATTATTACTTGAGTGGTCATAATAACTAAAATAGGCGTTATTTAGCCCCTATTCCTAAGGCATTTGCATGTTAAATCACCGTGTCTAGGCCACATATCAAGTTGTTTATGCCTATTTTCATTCCTATTAGCAAAACATACGTTTTGGCATAGGTATTCTAGATATGAAGGTTTTCATAGGGGAACCGACCCCAATATGTCGTATTTTATGCATTCGGGATTGACCGAGAATCAATTGGAGTTCATCCGAGCACGATTAGAAGCATAAGAGCAAGAAGGGGAGAAGAGGCACTGGTCACAACCATAGGTCACGCCCATGACCATGTTCGCAGGCTGAAGATCGCGGTCGTGAACATTATCCGCGAACTTCAGCAGACGACCAAAAATAAGGCAGAAAGTTTCCCCAGTCGAATCACGGACATGGCGCATTTTGACTGTGAAAAAGATCGCGCCTGGGGCACAAAGATCACGACTGCGATCTTATGAAGGAGGCTGAGATCTTGAAGCTTAAAGACAGAGTCAAAATGTTTCGTTTTGGGCGACTCGGGGACATTCTAACTAATCACGGCTAGGTCACGGCCATGACCATTGTGTCACGCCTGGAGGCCTTGATCGCCATCAGCTTTCTAGAAATACCCCTCTTGTTGCACTTTTCAAGAGAGAGCCAACCTAGAGTGAGAAAGTTATGGTTTTGGGTTGTTTTTAGAGATGGAAACACATTGGGGGAGCTTAATTGAAGATCCAATCCACCCAAGGAGCAAGAAGAAGGTGCAACCAAGGAGAAGAAGATTGATTCATCACTCCCTCTCTTCTAGTTTGTGTTTTCTTTCTCTCTCTATGACTTGAATCTCTACTGGTTGTTTAGGGAAGATGAACCCTAGTTTATAGGTTGTGTATGAATGGGTTTTGAATGAATGTGTTTATCTAATTGATTTCATTGTTTCTCTAGCTTTGATTGTATTTGGGTAAGTCGCCATAATCTTCTCTACTAGCCTACTTGAGCTTCTACGCTAGGTATGGAGTTTTAGGGTTAGACGGGTATGTGTCATAAAGCAAATTGAGGTTAGATGTAGAATAAGATCCTAAGGTGGACGAGGCGACCGTATTCCTGCCATAGGAATGCCTTCCTAGATATAACCCGGGATAAAACCTCGGTGTGGACGATAGGTAGTACCCATTAAAATGAGCTATGGTCTTAATGCCCCGGACACGATAGCCTAGATCGAGGTGACTAGCATGGGTTTAGGGGAGGCATACTCGGAGGCGTGTGGATAACCACAAAAGACCACAGAAAAGAGCTCGCTCGCCAAATTCTCTTCTACTTGACAATCATAGCTAGGAGGATTTGACCCTAGGCAACCGTCTCATTTCTAGCGACCTCCCAACCACTTGGTTGGTTGTTTATTTTGCCTTTAGGAGTAGATTAGATTATTTTAAACACCAACCTTTTGATTCGATTAGATAGTAATTCGGAGCGAAGTAATAGTAAGTTTAGGGATCCCTTAGAATACGATCGAACCACCTTACTACAACCCTAACTAGGTTATGTTTGGCTTAGTTAAGATTGAATAGAGAGTGTACATCGACTTATAAATTTAAAACTCGATCACGCAAGCGATCAAATAGCATTTTTCACCTTTTGTCAAGTAACATGAGATTAGTATGTAAATCCCCTGATAAAAAGGGATTTGAACTTTGAACAACATTTCAGGCTTGATTTGGGCTTCATATGTACAGTTCAATATCTTAACTATTATTTCTTTTATGGGGTGCCTTTCCATACAAATATCCAACTCAAGAACCAGTCAAAATCCTGCACACTTTAATCCAAATGTTTATGACTAAGCTTATCACGAAATTGGTCAATATGGAAAAATACACAATAATTAAATTAATTCCCAAACCATACAATTATATACACATAACAACCAGAAGACCATCTAGATGCTCAGAAGGTTTATGTGGATTAGAGAAATGGGGATTAGGTAGCCAATTTTTACCATAAACAATAAAGAAGTCCTCATCTCTAGGTGACTTGCCTACATCAGTGAATTTCTGCCTTTTGGAGGCATTGAAATTTATGACCCAAAACATTTTATATCTACCCACCCCTTCACCCATGATGATGTATATATAAAAACAATGTTTTATACGACTGATTAGGTACATCAAATTCCCATTATGTCACTCCTAAACAAAAAGTTAACAAAAAAAACACGGTATATATCTCTATTATTTTTGCAGCAAGTAGGACGCTAAAAGAGCACCCAAGTCTAACACATTGTACATATCTCTAAAATAGTTTAAAACAAATGAGTAACTAGGGTCTAGGACAGTGACGGATGCAGAACATAGTAAAGCACTGGGCCGCATTTAAATATAATATTAGATGTCGTAAAAAAAATAGTTAACATTTCCAAATTTTAGTATTTCAGATGAGAAATTAGTTACAAAATTACGAACGCTAACAAACAAATGACTAATATTTCGATGTATTGTAAAATATTTAGCTAATATTTTATATTTAGAAAGGTTTGTCTAATAATTTGAAAAGTCTGAAAGGTTTGGTTAATAAATTGTATATACCAAAAAATATATAATAACTATAATTTCATTAATTAATTACAATGCCAATTATAATAGAAGATTTTTTAATTTGGCAAATCTCATCAATCATATAATCTCCATCCATATCAATAGCATACTCTCTCTCAAATAAAATAGCTATGCAATCAATGAAAAATTCATCGCACATTTTGTTGCGCAAATTAGTTTTCACATATTTCATTGTTTAAAATGTTATCTCCATGGTAGCCACTATAAACAGGCAAGGTCAACACTAGACGAATAAAAAAATCACTTTGTTTAGAGGGGTTTTTTATTTCAATGAAAAATTTATACGGTCTTTTAAGTTTTAGACATTTACGTTTTATTGTTTTTTTTTTCAAATGAAAATCATTCGGGCTAGAATTTCTATGCTAAATTAGGAATAGTTGTTTGCATATGTTTATCTAGACCACTTTTCTAGTTACACAAAATTCTATTATCAAATAACACTCGACCGACTTTTAAATAGTACTGGGCCGAATACTTAAAATAAAAAATTTGTAAACACTATACTAGCTCTGGATCCGACGGAGGGTTTGGCTGTGGCCCGGGTTGGCCCAACCCTAGATTCGCCGCTGGTCTAGGGGGCAAAGTCCATCGAGCTAGATAGAAAAATAGCAAATTAATACCAAAGTGCGTAGCTAAGCTGCTCCAAAGGTCTTTCTATGGCAAATCTTTCATCGGATCTTTTCTACAACGGAAGTCCTAAATGGAAAGAAAGTCTCGGTGCTTCCCAGGTGTTCAGTTTGATGGGCTGAATCGGAAACAATGGAACATTTGTTTCTACATTGCCTAGTCGCCATGGCCTTATGGGACCAGTCAGGACTCGAGTATATAGGCCAGGGTTTGCCAAGTCAGACGTTTCCGCTCTTTCTAAAAAGGGTGATGTTATTGATCCACCAACCTCAGTTGTTTATGGCTATTGTGGCGCTACTCTGGAGTATCTGGCGCTCTCGCAATTGGGTTGTCTTTGAGGGCAAGCAATTCGGATTCCCTGCGCTAATGCGCCAATTTCACCAACAGTACCAAGAGTGGATCAGTTTGTCACTTGGCCGTTGTCAGCGTTTAGCCATCCCACTACCTCAATCCCTCGGTGTAGCTAAGAATGGGTCCCACTCGGCTGGGGGCATGGTCATCTTGAGCAGGGGAGGGGCAGTCCTCTTGGCTAGGGGAATATAGTTGTCTATTATTGATGATCCTATGTTGGTCGAAATGCTTGTTCTCCGGGAGACTATTCTCTAGTGTCTGGCAAACAGATACAAGGAGACGAGATTTGAAGGAGACGCGAAAGTTATCATTGATAAAATTAATCAGGCAGTACTCGTGATAATCGGATCAGAGTTGTCCTTGAAGAGGTTGGACGTTCTTTGGCAACTCATCATGGGCTTAATGTGCAATTTGTAGGTCGGAGTAGTAATAGGGTAGCTCATAGGGTGGCTAGAAAGACCCTCTCATTGTTCTGACTACTTGTCGTTTCTTTGATTTTCTGACCTGGTTATATTCCAGGATGTAATGATCTTTTGCTCTAATCATTATATATATAATTATCTTTTGAAAAAAGAAAACAAATTGAGGATGTGCATAATTAAGTGCATGGTATAAGCTAATTTCCAAAAAATTAAATCATAATTTAGATGAATAGTTCTTAAATGATAGTGTAGTTTTACAAACGATGATATAAAATAATGTGACTCCTAAAGTATTGTCAATGAGAAAATGAGAATCTTAAAATATACAAATATAAAAAGTATTTGAGGTGTGAATCGATAATGTTATCATTGAATATATAATAATATATTGAAACTATGACTATATAGTTGTAACTCGTATACTTAATTAATAAGAATTAGTTGGGTTGCAAGAAGTATGCTTAGGATCCCACCAACTAGTTTCCAATGTCATGCATGTGGAGGCGCTATTCATGCACCCTACCTTCCTAACATTAACACATGAGAATATGACCTTACATAATTTGGTACAAGAAAAAGGAAAAAGGAGAACCAAAAATTCCATTCCATTGTCCAAGCCTCATATTTATTGTAATTAGGGAAGGTTTAATTAAATCCGCAGAGTGTCTACCAAGTACCAACACATCATTGGTAAAATTATCAACGAGAAATTATGTCCTTAACTGAGTCGACTCGAATCTCACTCAAATCTCCATTCATATTTTTCTTCTCCGTTAATATATATAAATTTGAAGTTGGGTTACTGTTTCCTAATTATTTGTACTTTCATACCCCAAATTTAATTAAATCACAGCTTAGTCACTATAATGTATATTTTACATTTTGATACCTCAATTTTAATTTAAAATCATGAACAATTATGTTTTGGTATCTAAATTTTATAAGATTTTCGTACGTACAATTTTTTAAATTTATATATTGGTCCAATGTTTAGATTTTACTTGAATCCATGAATCCAATCCACCAATCCTTTTGAACCAATGCATAAATCAAATCCACCATAACATAAAAGTATAAATTTAGTTTGTATAATACAAGATGTTGTATCACTCAACTATAGGAGAAGATTCGATCATTTTATATTTGCTCATTACGTGAATCATTAAATAAATGATAAAAGAGAGACGACTCTAAAACATTAAAAGAGCGAATTTATAAACTCATTTAGTACATTTACGGGATACTAAACAAACTTCTACTAACTACATGTAACAAAATATGCGACATCTACATAAGCAAATGTCAATAAATTGCTACAGTGAAAAGGGTTGACTGTTGTATTGACGTTCAACTAAAAGAATTGGTCAAAACATTTACATCATCTATTTTCTCTTCGTTTCATTTTTCACTCCCCCTCCATAACCCTTTCTTTATTTCTTTCTTTGCCTTCTTCATCTAACCCAAATTAGTATACTATTTTTATGTATTCTAATTACAAGTATAAACGGGTCCATACACGACTCGCCAACAGTCTAGAGAACTAATAATTGAACCATGAACCATTAACTTTTACAACTCAATGTCCAATCCAGTAAAAAATAAATAAATATGTTATTACTTATTAGAAAGCCATCATTTTTCACTATGAGATTTGAGGGCATGAAATTTTAAGCGAGTTCCAGTTTGTATTCATTTTGCTTCTCTCTATAGTTTTTCTTTTCCACCCGGGCTACAATTTTCAACAATTATACATGAAATGTTTGGGTAGGTATCTAGCCATATCAAATAAATAGTTTTTATTTTTTTATAAAAAAAGTAAACAACTATCACCTTAAATACATCACCATAAAAGGAATTAAGCCTCAACTATGCAAATTATAGTTATGTACCTAAACTAAATAGATCTTTAGATTGATAACCTAAATTTATTTTTTTGCGTATAAGTCCTCAAAATGTTGATGGAACATCATTTTAGTACCTATATGTTTTTTTGTATTATATTTTGGTACCTAAACTTTTAAAGTTCTACAAATAGGTTTAATTTTTGTATATGTAATTAAAACACTCTCGAATAAATGAGTATCCATACCCAACTCATACACATTTAGATTATGAAAGTAAATATCCAAACCCTACCCAAACTCATCTACAAACTTCCAAATCCGTATATATGTCACCCATACCCTACCTATAATCAATGGGTTTACTTGGGTTTAGCTAAATATCATTTACTACCCAAAAAATTCAATTTTTTTAAATTGAATGTTGACCGCCATATATATCTTCTCCGTCAATATCATATGGTCAAGTCAATATTACTAACAAAACTACTAACAAAAAGTTAATTTTAGACTAATAATACTGACAAAACACCATAATGGGCCACACAATACATGCACATAGTCCATCTCCGCCCCGCGACAAGTCGCGACATCGCCACCTAGTTGTAATATAAAAGTGGAGTAGATCTATTGGGTTAAACAAAGAAATTAGCAAAGTAAGAATCGACCTTAAACACAACGAATTTGACTATAGGGGTTGTTTGGATAAATCATCTAGAAATGAGATAATTTGACCAATTGTCTTATTTTCTAAACGAAGCAATTTAAACGAGTCAATTCGAATTACCTGTCCCAATCACATACAATTGAAATTTACTCGAAATAGATCAATTCAAAATACCTCAGGCAAATTGATCCATCCAAATTTTTTGCTGACAAACGAGTCAATTTGGTACAATTATCACAAAACGAAATAATTACATCAAATTGATCCGTTACAATTCCCCATCCAAACGAACCGTTACACAGTTTATGGAGTAAATATATGATGCCCTAGTCTAAGTTCGATGACACAATTGTGCTACTAAACCTAGAGGCGTGTTATTTGTCGCCTGTGTCATTACTATTTGCCGCTCGTAAATTAAACTAAAAAGACATTTTTGCCCTCCAAAATTTCTTTATATTCTATTCTTTGGTTTGGTTTTTTAAACTACCTACACCACCACCCGACCACCAACCCACAACTACGGGCGATAAATAGCGATTCATCTAAACCTATTGGTCAAATCACCTATATATGTATGTATATATACGGAGACGACTGGTACTAGAATTCGCTTGTTGTATGTATTTTCTAGGTCTTTCTTGTTATTTCAGTAGTTTTGGAAGATGGTTGCAAAGAATTCACTTGTTCTAGAATTGAGTAAAAATACTTGGGGACTCAATTAAGATTGCTTATTAGGCTGCATCTTGATATGACTTGAATCGGATTATCAGCCGCTGCGACTGGAATAGTCGGTGGGGGTGCGGGGCAACGTCCCCGGCCCACGGTGTACGGGCTCAATATTATTTGGGTTCGGGTTCTGAGCCTGGTCTGTAACTGTTTCCTTTGCCATATTGGATTAGGTTTAGACCCACATGGAGAAGTATAAATATTTCTCATCTCCTCAGTAATCTGTAATCTCCTCGATATAGTGAAACTAACTCTCTCTCGCCCGTGGACTAGCTAACACACATCGTGTTAGTGAACCACGTAAATCGTATGTTGTGTTTTCGATTCTTGCTTTCGTATTCTTACTTTGTCGATTCCAACATTTTCCGGATCCGTAGCAGTGTGTTTATAACATTATGCATGTAATAGTTTGAAAATGGCCGAGCCCTATAAGAGGACGCGTGCAGGTTTTTGTATTGTTTGCAGCGGCGGATCTAGGACATAAAAGAGCACTGGGCCGTATTTGAATAGAATATTAGATACCATAAACAAAAATATATAATAATATAGTTTTCTTTACAACGCCAATTGTACAAGAAGGTCTTTTAATTTAGCAAATTCATCAATAATATAATCTCCATCCATACTGACAATATACTCTTTTTCAAAGAAAATAGCTAAGTAATCAACGAGAAATTCATCGGTCATTTTGTTGCACAAATGAATGTTCATGTTCCATTGCTGAAAATATTCTCTTCATGGTAGTTATTGAAACGGCTAGGTCAACACTAGACAAATCAACCGACAAATCAATTTGTATTATGTGTCCATCCATATTTCCTACAGCTTCTCTAATAATTTTGCAAGAGAAGAAACTTCATCTTCCTCACATGAGTAGTGCATTCTCCAAAGAATGCATCTCATAGCCTTCAAAGTCTCGAGGCTAAACTCTTGAGCAAGTTTGTAAATATTTTCTTCATCAAAACACCAGAAAGAACAGTTAGAATCTAGTGCCCCACTCAATTGAGGCAATCTAAATGATGACTCATCAAGTTTGTAAATATTTTCTTAATAAAAAAAAGGAAAGAAAACCAGCTCGACGGGCTGGCAGGGAAATCCATTTTGGGTCTGCTCGTCTCCTCGTTCTTGTTTTGTTTTGGGGGGATTGGGAAATTTTTTGAATTTTGCAAGGAAGGGTGTGCTTTAGTTTAGAGTTTTTTATTTTATTTTAATGAAACTTTACACTTTTAGGTTTTCATGTCATTTTTCAAATAAAATTATTAGGGCTATAGAAAATTTAGTATAAATTTAGAGTATTGGTTTGCATATGTTCATCTGAACCATTTTCCTAGTTACATAAAATCTTATTATCAAATAAAACTAGACAGAATTTTATATAGCACTGGGCCAAATATCTAAATCGAAAAAATTTATAAGCACTAAACTAACTCTGTATCCGGAGGAGGACTGGGCCGGGGTCTGGGTTGGCCCAGCTCCGCCTATGATTGTTTGGGTAGGTGATTGATTAGACTAATCTCAGAAACCAACTTTCAATACATAGGCAAAGATATTTTTTGAAAGAGGACGACTTTTGTTCCACCCAAACCAGGGGAAACAGAGTATGTTACAAGAGAAGAGCTAAAGCATTGATAACTGTAATCGACTGGTAACGTGTTTATACGTGCTTGTATTTGAACAAACCTAAGAATTTGGATAAGTGCCACCATTAACAATAATCCGGTAGCAAAACGACTGTTAATGTTCGGTTATTTATTTGAATTGTTTTCTTATGTTAAAAGTTGAGTTTGTATAAAATCATTTACAAATCGGACTTAACAAAAACTGAAAAGTGTTTCTTATACCAAAAAATGTAGAAACTCTTATGTGAAATTCCTTCGAAAAGTTATTTTGAAAGTATGGGCTTGTCCTTATTTTATTTTGTTAGAAAAAATAAATTTCTTTCGTTTATATTATTTTATAGTCAGAATAAATTATAACACATTACTATTTAGTACAAAATAAACAAATAAAATTAATTTTGAATGTATTATAATTTTTTAATTTATTATTCATACTATTTGAAATCATCTTTAATGATTTTACTCTAGTTCTTATATTAAAGACAGTTTTAATAGTTTATCAACCAAACACTCAATTATTTTTTTGAAACGCCTTCTCTTAAAACCCAACCATTTTTTTTTTGTTTTTTTAAAATTACAAGAGGATCAAAATAGTCTATTGCCACTTAAAATGGCACAAACACACCACATACTTGATAATGACACAAATGTCATTCCATAGTTAATTCAACACAAATTCATGACATTCTTACAATAAAACACACAATAAATCATTAGAGGACAATTGAATGCATGTATATGAATGACCCTTATCACAACCCCACACTTAAAGCTTGCTTCTCTCTTAGCAACGACTCACATAAAATCAAAAAGAAAACGAGACAGAACATTTTCACATCCCACATGACACACATCACTCGTGACACAAATACAATCGAGACAAATAAATCATTCTTGCACTCTTGTTGTAATCAGTATTTTCTTTCTAAATAGAAGAACCATGTGCTTATGTGGCCAAATATTTAACCCTACACTTAAGATCTTGCAACCCTTTACTATTGACTGATTTATTAACTCCATGCAGTTTAGCGTACATCAACCAACAACATTCAATTTTGATCGTCAATAGCGATTAACTAACAATGAACGGTGCAATAGTATCTCGTAAGGACAATCTGGTCTACTCACGTCAATTATAAGCAATCAACCAAGAACCAGAGTCTTAAAAACTTAGGGGGAGCTTTTCAATTTAAGTACATCACTACCTTTTCGACAACGAGAGTCTTCCTCTCTTTTTGATTTTGCTTGCCGAGTAATCGTATTTAGTACTAGTGGCTTTGTTTCTTACAACCAGTTATCAAGCAAGAGTAAGTTTTGCAATTCTCGCGTACGCATAGGGCTTCTTTTAACTCCTTTTCTATGATCCATGTGGAGGGTCAATGTTATAGAGGGGTGTCGGAAGCTCTATATGTGCCCTCTAAACACATTCTCATATGGCACTTCACTCGGCGGGGGATTGCTTGATAAGCAACATCGTACGGTTGCGAACCGATTCTCAGTTGAATCTTTTTTTATTTCCCCTATGCAAGAGTAATTTCCTGACACACATTTTGGCATTTATACCCACACTCTAATTGTTATGGCAAATTTCTTATATTTTGATTGTCAGGTAGGATTTTTCATTTTTTAAAAAATACAGTTCACCCCATATAAAAACTTTTGAAACCCAGAGACTCATTGGCAAAGTCAAAAGCTCGCAAAAGATGAAAATATGCACAGTATCCAAACATATCGATTGGTAAATACTCTCCATCTAATCACTTCACCCATATTACACTATTCTCCCGAAATTGAATGCTACTAATAGAGTTTGGTCATTCAAAGCATTTTAACCAGCTAAAGTAGCGACTTTGGTGGGGTAACTTCAACGATCACTAAATGGCAATAATAATGACCAACTGAACATCACATCACATACCAACGCTAAGGAAAAATCCCTACGACTCACCCCCTCCAACCCCACGCACACTTAGGGTGGAACATTGTCCCTAATGTTCAACTTCTAATCTAAATATGCATCGGGATAGACTCACACAAACTAAGACACAAAAGAAAAGACTAAGAAGCGGATGGTGGTGGGGCACTGTGCCCGATATCATCAAGGCGCTGGAATGAGCCAATGTTGCATTAATGAGAACGCTGAAAAGAAGAAGGAAAAAAATGCATTAATGAGAATGAACTAATGCACGTTATTTCTACATTTCGTGATTTACGTACATTCATCAGGTATGTAACTAATGCACGTTCGTGGTCTAGTTTACACATTCATATATCACATCATATAATTTCTATACAAATTTCATGCTCCAACATTTAGCCAAGTGGGGCCTTCTGTGTGTGTGTTTTGTCAGCAAGAAGAGGAAACTCGTCATCTCATCTGTTTGCTGCCTGCACTGTCTTGAGGCAGGCTTTCATAAAGGTATTTGGTTCCATAAATTGAATAGGGATGTGCAAAGATTTAAAGGTATATAAGTTAACCTCTACATGAGAGAAAGGTGTACTCTGGTATTTGGAGGAGAATTATGATGAATTATGTTTATAAGTTTGGGAACTAATATTGTTGGTTTTAGCCTGCTTACGATTTTGCTGTAATGATCATTGTATAGTTCAAAACTAGATAGCAAGGTTATTTCGAAAGTAAAGCTTTTTTATGAAATAAGATAACATTTGTCACTTATATTTACGATTATTACTTATTATATTTCTAGTTATGTTAGTAGTAGTATCCATGGGTTGGACTTTATGTGTTTACGGTATTATAGTGGGGTAAAGAAGATGCCACATGGATGCTGACTACATTTTTAGCTAAACACTAACGGTCAACGCCGATCAATATTAATAGAAAATAGTTCATGCCAGAATTTGTGATGTTGAATAGTTTAGCACGCAAATAACACTTTTTAGATAGTTTGGCCTTCCTAGTGGAATTAACCCTAAGTTTAATTTACCAATCCGGATGATACAATCTCAGATTGTTCAATTTACAAGCCAGCATTGCTTGCCTAAGAAGCAACTTCACAAAGCAACAAGAACTCTAGAATTTGGCTAAGTGCTTATTTTGTTTAAGGTTACCTACTTTGCAAGCTTGGTTCTCACAATTGGATCGATGAAAATGAAAGAAGAAGTCTTGGAAGTGAAGTTCAGATGTTTACTACTGGAATGAATTCCAGTACAAAGCAGTGAATTGATTGACTCTCGCACAACCAATTCACCACTATCAATCAAGGAAGCTCTCTTAACCTAATCAGATTCTATCTATCATATGTTATTGCAGAAATCAAGAGCAGATGAGCAGGCTTCAATTGACTCAATAAATCATGCCTCAATCGATTATAATCAAACAATATAGCATCCAAAACTTCATACAAGAAAGATCCTAACACATGGAACTAGGGTTCCTCAAAACCTAAGTGAAGGGAAGTTACTCCATAGAGAAGAGAGAGATTGCAGAAATCTGATCTAGATCTTCAATTTCCATCTCCAAGCTTGATTCCCGAGCTCCAATGGCAAAGAAATCCTCCATAATAGCTCCAAGAATGTTCCTAAGTGGCTCTCTTTAGGGTTCGTCCCTTGGGTGTTTGGGAACCAAAACCCAGCTCTCTCTTTCCTTTGGCTTGAATCTGCCTCAAAACCCCGATTCTGGGCAAAACACGATCAAGGACACGGCCGTGTTTTACTTTTGCCCGCCCGTGTTTTTCCCCCAGCAGCCCTCAGGACACGCCCTCGGCAGTAAAAACACTAGCGGGGGGCAGATAAAACACGACCGTGTTTTTAGGGTAGTCTGCCGTGTTTTTACTGCCGAACCTATTCCCCTATATTCAATGCTTCGTTTTTACTGCCGTGTTTTTACTTTTGATCCAAGACGCTCGTAGTATCGTCCTATTTCTTTTCATTAAAATATTGCATGATTCTTCATCCATAAATGAGGTATAAATCCATTCTTCTTCAGGTCATGCCCGAATTTCTTCTCCCGAATCGCCAATTGGTATCCGATTGACTTGAAACTTGCGCCTAATCTTTCCTTTGATGCTTGGGACCTGAAATGTGACAAATAAACACAACCTAGCGTAAAATAGGCCAAATAAGCGATAATGCAAGCTTAAATGATCAAGAAACAAAGGGGAAAACATGTGCAAATATCGAGTCGTCAAATCCCCCCACACTTAACCGTTTGCTTGTCCCTAAGCAAACCCGACTCAAACCAATGCAACTCTCCAGACCTTTATAGCAACATGTCACCCCGATCGTTGGTAGAGGATTTCCTAGATCATTTAGCAGCTTACGAGGTCAACCGACGCACAAGACACCTCCTAGCTTCTTCAACGAGAACTCTAGCCTCGAGTCGGCATCATGGCAAATAGTGATTAGAGGAAAAATGATCTCGAGTCGCCATGCCGGGAGAAGATGTCTCGAGCCTCGTGCAGGGGAAGGAAATGTAAGGGGGATGGAGGTAGTAGGTGGAAATTGGGAACGGATTCCCGTCTCCCCTTACACACTTTCACCCTTTTCGCACGGGAGACTTTATTTTAAAAGCACAATTTAGAGCACCTTTTTTCCAAAACATGATACAGGAGTCCATGACAGGTAGAGAGTCCAGAATACCAAACAATTTAAGGGTCCTAAGATCACTAATTCACACAATCAACCAACACAATATGAAGAAGAAATGAGACTTCTTAAATGCATCAACATCCTCCATAGTGCTACACTACCTCCCTAGGTTGCATATTACTATAAAGACTGTCAATTCAAAGCATATTGAGCAAGCAATTGCAAGTAACACGTGCTTGGAGCTCTCAAATCAAAATTTGGACAGTGGACTAGGCTCCAAGCACACACATACAGCCAAACATTCACACGCATACATAATCGAACACCCCCCCCCCCCACACACACACTTAAGCGTGACATTGTCCTCAATGGAGAAAAGATAAGGAGGGTAGAACGAAGTTACCAGATCAAGGGTGAATGATGGTGGGCGGGACAGGCGGTGCATTCTAGAAGGAGAGAGTAGTCGGAACACAAACACCACATAAAATCTCACAAAGGTTGAGTTATTGACCTAAAATCAAAGAACAAAACTTACTCAACCGATGCGAGATAGGGAAAGAAATGCAAACCGACTAGTTGGGTTGCCTCCCAACAAGCGCTTCTTTTACGTCGTGAGCCGGACGGTAGCTCCTAAGTTTCGGTCCATGCTAGAACCTCTTTGAAGTTGAGGTTCTCATCTATGAGGTGGAGTCTCAAGTCACGAGCAGGTGGTGTGGCAGGTGATGAAGGCTCATGCGTTTGATGCAGTTGAAGTCTCCACCCTCGAGACCTCTTCCTCGTTTCTTCTCTTGTCTTATTGCCCTAAACCAAATATAATTGTATCGACTGACCACCATCGCGTCCACCAAGAGGGACCGATGTCGATGTGGCCTTGGTCTTGCAAAGAGACACTGCAAATGGGTCCTTGCTAAGCAGTTCCTCGAAGTTTGGTGGGGATATTACTTGTATTAAAGGGTCGGTGCAAGCCTCTTCCACCTCAACTTCATCCTTAGCCTGGACACCACTCGCTTCTTCAACCCCCCTTCCTTTTTCAAAATGTGGTCTCTCTCCTTGGAAAAGATCAAGAACTACCTCTTCTTTTCTTTCTTCCTCATCCTCCACAACTTCTTTCCTCATCCTTTCTCTCTCTTCTTCTTCTTCCATAACGGATTGGAGAGCAAGTCGCCATGCAAGGTTCTCAATAAGTTCAGCTTGCATCTCCTCGCTCGGACCCAGCATGTCAGAGCGAAAATGGGGAAAGTTGTGATCTACCACCAGAGGATACACTTGATCATGATTATCATGGGAGCATTCCGTGACAACTTTTGTATGCTCCTCAACATCCTCATGATTGCCTTCTTCCTCCTCCTCCTCTACTTGTATGGCAGCATAAAGGTTGTCTTGAGAAAACTGTGAACAAGTTTTCTCAATGACCTCTATGTGCTTCTTTATGCTCCGAAGGGTATCCTCTGTTTCACGAGGAAAGGAGAAGTCAGTTTGGGCAATGGTCTGGATATGAGGATCCATCTCGGGAAAGGATCTCTCAGGTACTCGAGCAATCTGCTCCACGAGAAGCCTCAAGTGATAGTTTGGATCTGGCCGTGGTGTGTAGCATGGCTCTGCCGGATGGCCCGAGAGAGCTGTGGCTAAATCAAGATCTGATGTCCCTTCTGGTTGTGGGAGGAATTCTTCTTGATAAGGAGGTTGTTCTTGATATACCCATGGGTCTGATTGTTCTCCGTAGTAAGGGGGTTGGTACTGGAACCCGAATCCATAGTCTTCTCCTCCTTGATTGCTCCAGGAAGTCTTGGGGTAATACCACTCAGATGGTGGTGGATACCCCAACTGGTTGGCAAAGCCATTAGGATCCATGATTCAGATCTGCACCAACAAAAACAAAAACACCCAAGTGAAAAGCAATAGTGGAAAAAAGCTAAAGTAACAAACTTCTGCCTTTCCTATAATCTAGAAAATCCTCGGCAACGGTGCCAAAAACTTGACACACTAAAACACAACACCTAACAATGGCCAAGTGTAACCAATGAAAGGGAATGCAGTATAGTGACACAAGTAATAAATATCGAATCCACGGGTCTCTAGAGTTACTATTACTCAGCTTCAGTTCATTATCTAGCAAACTAGATTAAGGATTGATTTACTAAACTACTCTACTAATTACAAGTTGGGAACTCACTTAGGTATGATTCTCCCTTGCTCCTCAATTAGGTCCAAGTTGCAATTACCTTTGGTTGATCTACTGTTGATTAAACTGCGAAAGATCCTAAATTAGCTTGGAATCTCTTAAGTTGACCAAGCCCTCTTAGACAGAATACCCGGCAGGCGACTAGCCTTCACCGGGATAGACTGCTAAGGCGATTCACGCAGATCTCCACTACTGGAATGAATTCCAGTACAAAGCAGCAAATTGATTGACTCTCGCACAACCAATTCACCACTATCAATCAAGGAAGCTCCCTTAACCTAATCAGATTCTATCTATCATAGGTTAAAGCATAAATCAAGAGAAGATGATCAGGCTTCAATTGACTCAATAAATCATGCCTCAATCGATTATAATCAAACAATATAGCATCCAAAACTTCATACAAGAAAGATCCTAACACATGGAACTAGGGTTCCTCAAAACCTAGGTGAAGAGAAGTTACTCCATAGAGAAGAGAGAGACTGCAGAAATCTGATCTAGATCCTCAATCTCCATCTCTAAGCTTGATTCCCGAGCTCCAATGGCAAAGAAATCCTTCAAAATAGCTCCAAGAATGTTCCCAAGTCGCTCTCTCTCTCTAGGGTTCGTTCCTTGGGTGTTTGGGAACCAAAACCCAGCTCACTCTTTCCTTTGGCTTGAATCTGCCTAAAAAACCCGATTCTGGGCAAAACACGGTCAAGGACACGACCGTGTTTTACTTTTGCCCGCCCGTGTTTTGCCCCCAGTAGCCCTCAGGACACGCCCTCAGCAGTAAAAACACTAGCGGGGGGCAGATAAAATACGGCCGTATTTTTAGGGTAGTCTGCCCGTGTTTTTACTGCCGAACATGTTCCCCTATATTCAATGCTTCGTTTCTCCCTCGTCCGGACTCCAAATCAGTCGCTGTTTGATCCCAAACGCTCTTAGTCTCGTCCTATTTCTTTTCATCACAAGCTTGCATGATTCTTCATCCATAAATGAGTTATAAATCCATTCTTCTTCAGGTCATGCCAAGTTTCTTCTCCCGAATCGCAAATTGGTATCCGATTTACTTGAAACTTACGCCTAGCTTTTCCTTCGACGATTGGGACCTAAAATGTGACAAAGAAACACAACCTAGCATAAAATAGGCCAAATAAGCGATAATGCAAACTTAAACGATCACGAAACAAAGGGGAAAACATGTGCAAATATCGAGTCATCACATAGTTTTTTTTTAGATACAACATAGCTTCTAATTAACCCATGTGTCCCGCTAATTAACCCATGCATGTCCCTTCTAATTGATTATGCCGAATCTTTTGTTGGTGTTTGATTACTTGTTGTATATCTAATACGAGGGATTTGTTTAGGAAGGTTAGTACTTAGTACTGATGATTTAAAGAACAAGTTTAATCTGTCGAGGATAAAGCAAAGGGTTTTCACGACCATCATTGTTGATGAAGACCAAGAATGCGACAAAGAAGTCCAAGGAGTACAATAAATTGAAGTGTATGATATCGATTCAACTCAAATTCGTGCGATAGATATTCGACATGGTGAAATAGCATACAAGTTGCGCAATGACTTTCAAGCTGAAATTATTTGATGTTATCACTTAATTGATATTTGATATTGTAGTTGTACTTCTTAAAATATTGGTTATACACTATTGTTTTGTTTATTTGTTTAAAACATGATTCCTATTCAAAACAGATATCAGTTTGTAACAATTGTATCTAAACAAGTTTTCATTTTCAGGTTTCAGAACCCTCTAAATTCTCAGCTAAACAAGTTTTCTTCAGATTTTGTTTTTCAGGAAATGACAGATTCCTTTTCTTCAGATTACCTTTTCCGTTGTCCAGAAATAAGAAAACAGAATGAATACTAAACGGGGCATAAAGTTTTCTCGCCAGAAAACAAAAGGTAGTGTTTGTAGTTTGAAATTATTTAGACTTAATTATAAGAATAGTTGGTGAACTTGTGAATTTTACTTTATGTATCTTTTTTTCCTTAGTTTCTCCAATTCAATTATTCATTATTTGACTCTTTGATGTCATGTGTAATTCTGCGATTTTTCCAATACAATAGCATTTTTTTACGGTATTTAACTAATATATTTTATTTTATTTTAAAAATAATATTTTATTGGTATAAAATAGTTGAACCACATTGCTCCATAAAATACACTATTGTTATAGACTTATTCGGTATGACATGACTTTTTAATCGTTTTTTTAACGGGGAGGCATTAAGCCAATGAACAAAACATAGGGAGTGATCACCAGGGATGGCAACAAAACCCGAATCCGCGGGTACCCACCCGACCCAATCCGGTTAACGCGGGTAAAATCCGTGTTGACGGGTTTTGGGCCGGGTTCGGGTTTAAACCCGTTACACTATTCACCGGGTCGGGTTGGGTTTGGGTTTAGGTAAACCCGATCCATGGGTACCCGCCCACACACATATAATTATTTTCCCGGTATATTTAATATTCTAAATAATATATTTTTCTTAAACAATTAATATTTTTTATGTTTATGGAGACATGTATAATTTGTTCTTTCTAATTGTTTAGAATGAAGTTGATATTATGAAGTGGAGAGTGAAGAAACTTAGTTGACGAGGAAGAAGTTTTCAATTAATCTTTTGTTTATAGATGTTTATCTTTAATTTTGAACAATTTGTATTGATCATTTGCGGTTTGCTTGTATGCTCTAGATTAGTGTTTTTTTGTATGATTAATTTGTATGAGAAAATTGATGTTAAACTTTTATTTTGAAATAAACTTGTTATTGTAAATTTTTTACCACAAAAACCCACGGGTACCCATGAACCCACGGATACCCAGCGGGTTGGGTTGGGTTTGAGTTTTTCAAACCCAACGGGTTTTACCCCGGTTTTTTTTTCCGGATAAACCCATGGGTTTGGGTTTGGGTTTGACAAAACCCGCCCCAACCCGACCCATTGACATCCCTAGTGATCACCACCTCAGGTCGGGGTGAAAGCTCTGGCTATCCTGAAAACAAATGGGCTAAAAATAGGATGCTAGAGTAGTAAACAAAGTGCTCGAACACCTCTCAGAAGAGACCTCAGTGTTGGGGTATGAGTACCCGACGAGGGAAGCTAAGCCCAAGCATGTCCTCCCGGAGAATCCGATTGATATCAGATGGAAGTTCGGTTAGCTCATACGTACCAAAGGGATAGACGAGACTGTGCTTCGAGAGCCAATCTGCGACTCTATTTTCTTCACGTACGGTACGTATGGACTATCTGAACTATCCAGTCTTGCGTTAACGTTTTACGAATAGCACTTAGCAGTGTGGCATGGGGATGAACTGGATATTCCTTGTATTTGATCAAATCAATATCCAACTTGGAGTCGGTTTACAGGATTAACATACAAACTCTCTCCCTCCACACATAAAGGAGTCGTTGGTAGATTCCCCAGAGTTCAGCTACGATGGTTGTACCATTCCCTATTTTGCAGCAAAAACCTCCAATCCAATCGCCATTACTATCTCGAAGAGCACCTCCAGCTGACGCCATACCAGGATTCCTTGATGCCATATTAAAGTAGGGTAATGTCTATTTTTTATACAAACATTTTTCAGATTCTTTTATATTATCCAAACCTATTAAAATGCTATTAATTAGCCAAGTGTAACTTCCCGTTAAGAATTTCGTTAGTAATATTGACTTGGCAACATGATGCTGACTTGGAAGAGCACATGAAGGTCAACATTACAAAATTTTAGTATTTTAACTAAGAAAATAGTTACAAAATTATTAACAATAATGTAAAAATGACTAGTATTTTGATGCATTTCTAAAAATTTGACTAATTAATAGCACTTTAATAGGTTTGGATAATATAAAAGAATTTATAAAAGTAGGTTTGGATAAAAAATAGACATTATCCATGAACGAGAATAAGTAAGTAATGGTTTGGGCTTAATATTCTAGAAAGAAAAGTAGGTTTGGAGTTAGGTTTTCTTTCTTTCATTTGTTCCAAAGCAAAGGGGTGGTTTTGTCGGTTGCACAATTTTGACCGACTCGTACGGCATAATACGTACGGAGTTAAGGAGTTTAGGTACGCACGCAGTCAAACCAGGAGAAAGATAAGGAAAAAGAGGATGACGTGTTCCCTCATCTCTTTCTTCCTTTCTTTGTCTTATCGTTCAATTCATGATAGCTGGGGTTAATTAATTAATTAGCCTACTCCTTATCATAAAGACATAAACCCTTAACCCAAATGATTAAATTAAGCATAATAACTATCAACTTTATTACTGTTGTTTTCTCTATCCTTTTGCCACTACAAAAAGCATAACAACTCTGATCTTGCACTACACATATGAACAATAATGTTGCAAACATTTTCTGTTAGTTCAAAAACAAACTTAATTAATTGATATATACTTGGCTATATTTACAAATCCCAATTTGATTTGCATACCTAAAACATATGTTGCTCAATTTTACCGTCACAATATTTGTCTAGAATCCTTTAAACTATGTGTGATTCTCAGTAGGCTTCATATCTTAATATCAATTTTGAATTCCTTAAAATTTACCGATCAAGCATGCATATTTGACATGCTTATGGTGTAAATATTATATACGAACTTGGGAGATTATGATAGTGTAATCTCCTCAACAATCTTGAAGAACGTTCTTATTTATGATTTTGGATACTTAGACCAGATTTAACTAATTAACATCAATTGTGTTTCTTAACCTAGCTTTAATTAACCTCTATATACTTGGTGGATAGTGGTTGTGAATAAAATATTTGACTTGTACAATATGGCACTTAAGTTGGAGAGGAAAGGTACTTATTCCGGTGTTATCTCCTTTCAACTTAGACAAAGTTATCATCAAGTAAAGCAAATTATTTTAAATAGCAAAAGTTGCTTTTATTTGCAGAAAGAAGGATTGAGGGATCACTAATAATAAGTGAGAGTTAGTGTTTTATTTGGAAACTAAAAGTAAAAGGCAAACAATGGATGGTCTAAAATAGTAGTATGGTTTATTGGTTTTTGTTCTTCTCATAGATAAATTATAATACAAAGACATACAAACATATATCGCAAAGACGTGCAATTTTAAGTTTTTAAGATAAGAAAAAATAGAAGGCAAAAGGACTATAGAATAAGGGCATTAATTAAGATTGCATCGCCAAATAAACAACTTGATCAGCTAAACAGGAGATGTGGTGAAATGAAAGGTAACCGAAGAAATACTAAATTAAGGGTCATTTGTTTCATGGATTATGAGGATAAGAGTTTTGGGTCAAAACATCAGTTTTGAAAAAATTTGGATTTTTTATAAATGTGGAAAGTTTTAAATTTTCTTTATGAATATTTTTTCATGGATTTTTTTATTTTGAATTTATTAGTTTTTTCCGTAAAATACTATATTATCCCTATATAACTGTTTAATTTTTTTTATTAAAACAAATTCATTTATCGGATGTCCGTGAAGAACAAAAACAATCATTTATCAATCTAACACAACAAAATATAACCGTGAAGTTATCGAAAAACTTTACCTATATGTGTTCTATGTAATAACACAAAACTATCAACCCAACTGAAGAAGTTATCACAAAACAACACTTAGAAGACAACACCACTATAATAAACGAGGGGAACAAAATAAATACTCTTAATTATAGCAAAGCACTTTCATACTCAAACTTCAATTAAAACTTGATCTAAGAAAAAGCTACATACGAATGGGATTGTGATTAGTGAAAGAGAGGTTATGGAGATGAATGATTAAGTTAGCACCATTGAATGTATCCATATGTCCCAAAATCTTGGGTCAAGATAGAGTCAGTAACTTGCTTAACATGAGTAACCAAACATGTACTCTTCCTTTTAAGTGGGCTGCAATCTAATGGTTGAGGATTAAAGTTATTTTATTTCTCCTACTTTTGTTAATCGTATCATATCTTCTTCGTTTTAATATGAATTTTAATTATTTTTTTTGCATATAAGGAACGAGTTCGTTGTGCTCTACAAAATGAGATCCATTTTCATTATTTTTTGAGAAAAAATTTCATACCTTTCGTTACCAACTTCATACCATATGGTATCTTCTTCGTTTTTAAGTCATTTTTGAAAAATTTTGCACCAACGGAATCATGATATTGGATATACAAATTTCTAGGTGAACAAAATACACGACAAAAAGTACCATACAACACCACCTTGGTATGGGGGTGGTATCTTGTGGTACACAATGTTGAAAGTCGTAAATGACAGTTGGTATACTCCTACAATCATGTATTCAACTATCCTACAGTCTTGGTATGTTCATACCACCATGGTACATTGTTCATGGTATGCTCTTATTTAAATACCAATCAATACCACCATGGTATAAACCGGTATAAAATGCTTCAACTTTTTTTTTTGTTTAAAAAATATATCAAAGTGGATATCATTTTGAAGAACAAAATTAATCTGATTTATCTGTGCAAATAAATTAAATTTGAATTCTGACTTAAAACGAGAGAAAAATCGTATGTTAAAGATTAAACGAAAAAAATTAAAGGCTTTCAAGGAGAGACAAGGTGCTGATGTGGCGGATTCTGGTTGGATTATTCATGGTTATTGACCATAGAGTTATACACAGGATCCACTCTCCAAGATCTCACACGTGTATTTGGAATTTTCAAGTCTATGGGCTCATGAATTAGACCTTTAAATTCCATAGCCCCACCAGATTTGGTCCCAACCAATTTGGGATGCAACCAATTAATGAATTCATTATAATTATAGATTGGACCCAAATATATACCTCAAATTTATTTATGAAGTAAACAATCCTTAAGGATATCCCGATTCTCATAAATCATATTGTCATCATAACTCGAGTTGTTTGGAAATGTTCAATTGTTAATTTCATATAATTTTCTAACATCAACAACATGGAAAACTGAGCCTCCGATATATTCAATACATAAAAATCTTGGTCATGACGAAGTTAGAAGTTGAAACTATGAATTTTCTTAAATATATATAGAAAAATAATTATTTAATGCATATAATTACAAAGTATTAATATTAAAGTAATTTATTCATAATTAAATAAATAACTAAGGTAACATTTGAAACCTCCTAAAGATAACTTAAGAAAATTTTTATTTGTGGCTGCGAAGAAAGTTATGATCAAATCGGTCGTGTCAGGCTCTCCTATATATGATATGTTATCCTTTCGGCTGCCTTCTACTCTATGTCATAGGTGCAACAACTAGTGATCTCGGTTTCCGTGGGTTTTTCAATGAACAAGACGAGACCCTAGCAAGGATGTACATGGCGATGTATCATCCCCATAAATCATTTCTCGCCGCCTCATCTGGTTCGCTCCCTTATCAATTATCACCTAAAGGAGAGATTTTTGCCAATTCTGTGGAGCCCACGAATTTGGACCCTCAAAATCCCTGGGTTCCACGAATTTATTGCCCCTAAATAGGTGTAACAAAGAATCGAGTTTGGACGAAATCTATAATAAATCCAACTCCATCAAGCAAACAACACCTTATAATTGGGATTTGGTTTCGTGAATGCATATCTGTGGGACACATGATGCAAAAAAATAAAAAATCCATGATAAAAAGAATCACCTATACAAATAGTTGACTATTTCAAATACATAATGCAAAAAATCTATCATAAATACAAAGATTTTCAAAACTCACATTTTCAAATCCAACAAGCAAATGAGCTCGTTTAGTATAGTTTTGTTGTTATTATGACTGCAGTAGAGTTGGGGGAGATGGCAACTAAAGGCAGAAACGTGTTTAGTTACTTTTTTATACCCGGTTTAGTATCAATGTTGAGACTAAGACAAAAGTAAAAGATATTGGAAGGAATAATATGACGTGACAAGTTATGTGAATATTGTGTGACAAAAATATATGAACAAAATATTGGCGATTAGTTTTTGGGATGAGTTTCGCAAAAACAAATAGGCTAAAAAATGTAGAAAGTGAGTATAGTCCTGCTCGCTAGATTACAAGGGTGGAAACAACGCCACCTATCGTGGGCGGCAAAAGAAACCCTTCTTAAATCGGTGGCAGCGGCTCTTCCGGTTCATGTTATGTCATGTTTCTTGTTGCCGAAAACCTTATGTCGTCGGCTTGATCGGTTGATGGCACAGTTCTGGTGGGGGACGAAGGATGGCTCGCCGAGAATACATTGGATGTCTTGGAGACGGCCGTGCAGAAGTAAGCATGAGGGCGGTTTGGGGTTCAGACATTTTGAGGAGTTCAACCAGGCCTTATTGGCGAAGGTAGGATGGCGGATTTGGGAGGAGTCGGGTTTGTTGTTAGCAAGAATGTATAAGGGGAAGTATTTCCCAAATGGGTCCCTCCTAACTGCGGGTCCGCGATCTCGTCCATCCTGGGGCTGGCGGAGTGTGCTACATGGGTGTGAGTTGCTCAAGCAGGGTTTGCAGTGGCAAATGGGGACGGGGGAGGAGGTGGAGATAGGGTCCGCTCTGTGGGTGCCGGGGAAGGAGAAGGAGGCCCCTCCTCTCTTGCCTTTGGCTCCTATCTCGGGACATGATAAGGTTTCGGCTTTGATTTGCCCAGGGGAGGGGAAATGGTGTGAGTAATGCCTAGTCGCATGTTTCCCTCCTCAATGGGTTAGGCGGATTAAGGCTATTCCGGTGCCCCGCTTGGAGGTGAATGACAAACTTATCTGGGTAGAGGATTCGTCTGGTGAATACACGGTCAAGTCTGGTTATCATCTGGCGTTCCGTCAGAGGCGCCGGTGGGCTAAATGGAAAGAGTATGTTAGTTGGATGGATATGAAGCTTTGGAAGACCATTTGGTCGCTGCAGGTGCAACCAAAGCTGAAATTCTTTCTCTGGCAGATTTTCAGTCGTATTCTGCCCACGACGGAGGCTTTACTCGAGAAGGATGTCGATGTCCTGGGGCGTTGCCCGGTTTGCTGGGCGGAGCTGGAATCCTTGGAACATCTTTTCTTCCTTTGCCCGGTAGCTCAGGAGTTATGGGAGGGCGGTGGGGTCCTGGGCCTGGCAGACGGCCTAGATGGAGCTAACTTTGTGGTTTTCCTTCGCCGGGTCTTGGAGCGGGTAACCTCGGAGGGCATGATGTGCTGAGTAGTGGCGGTGTTATGGTGCATTTGGAAGGCGAGTAATTGGGTGGTTTCGAGCTCAAGCAAGTACATCGATCCATTCTTCGGCAACAGCTCCTGCATCATATTCAAGAGTGGGAAAGAGTGCTACAAGGAGTGGGGGCTGTGGAGCTTGCTGGCCCGCCGGTGCAAGGGGGTTTGGGCGGGCTGGAAGGACCTGTGGGGGAGCTATCGTGTTCTTTTGATGGTGCGGTTTGTGGTCAGTCTCATGCTGCAGTTGGGATAGTTATTTGGGATGCAACGGGAGCCGTCGTGTTGGCGAAAGGGGAGCGCTTGGATGGAGCGTTTGAGCCGACAGTGGTGGAGTTGATTGATCTTCGGGAGGCTATGTACTGGTGCGTAACGAGGGGCTGGGGATCCATGCGGTTTATGGGGGATGCAAAGGTCGTAATTGATAAGGTGAATGCGATGGAGGTGAGGGACGCCAAGGGTGGAGCAATCCTGCAGGAAGTCAGGGCTTTTCGGCATATGTTCCCGTGGTTTAGAGTGCAGTTCGTTGGTAGGCAGAACAATAGGGTTGCCCATTTGATGGCAAGGAAGGCCCTAGTATTGTCGGCTAGTGCTGTGTTAGATTTTGATTTTTGCGCTTGGCTCCATTCGGAGTTGTAAACGTTCGATCTATCTTTCTCTTGGTAATACAAGCTATCTTTGGTTAAAAAAAAAAGAGATCTAGTCGTTGACTCTTTGGATGGAATTATTTCAACAATTAATATGATCTTACAAAAAACAACAAGAAAGTGACGGCTTAAAGTTGATTCTCTTATTTCAGCTAATTTTTATTGTGTTGCCTATTCCAATTATCATAGCGCAAATAAAAACATAACCAAGCATATTTTCTACATCTATCGTACCACCTCGGCCACCGCGGTTGCTACTAAGATGGTGGCTAATAATAGCTAATCGTTCAATTGTGCCAAGTTTCACTCATCAATTCTTTACTTTTTTTTTTTACTTTCGATCACTATTAATAAGAGGAAAGATGGTCCTGAAATACAAAATAGAACCTATCTACTACGCAACCATCAAACAAAGTCAACCCCCTTCAACATTCCTGGTAACAAAAATCGAGCATGACGAGCTACTGAGCGAGACTCTCTAAAATGGGCTCCTGATTTAGATAACTTATAATAAGCCCACATAACCAAAGCAAATATGATTATACATAAAATATGTGACTCATACCATTAGGAAATGAATTTCCTTACATGATCTTTTTTTCAACTTGTCTATTCACATCATCCAAGTAAATAAAAAATCTACTCCATGCCTAAAGAAAGAAGTACGACTACAGAGAAGGAAAATCTCATGAAAAGATGAAAATCCTTCTCCTTAGTTAATTGCTCTAACTAGAGAAGCATACCAAACTGCTGGATTAAACAATTAGGCAACCATATCCACTCCTTCGACCAATGACTTCGAATGGCGTAACGAAACCAATCATCCTCGTTCCTGGCCCCCTTGCGATGATTGACTAATGCCCTAAATTACACTAAGGATATATTCTCTCACCTAGGTTAATTGGCCCCAAAATTGAGATCATTGATCAAGGACCTTCAATTATCATGAGAAATACTCAATCAATATATAAAAAACCATGCCAATCACAACATAAAGTTCACATTCACAAAACTACAACATCCTTAACTAGGGTTTCATCCAAATGAATAGAAAATATACTCCATGCCTAGAGAAAGAACTACAACTGTAGAGAAGGAAAACCCCATGAAAATATGAAACTCCTTCTTCCTAATTGCTTGGGATGGTGTTGAAGATGAAATCTGGCCTCCTTTCAACTTGGGTAGCTCAAATTTCCCTTCAATCTTCCTTGGTTGTCGCTTTCTCTCTCTAGAATACATAAGAATATCCAAATCTCTCTCTCTAAAACTCTTCTCCCCTTGAAATTTACTCTCTCTTCATATTTATACCCGACATTGCAATCTTTACGGCCACGTGTCAAAACCGTGATGTCGGCACAAACCGCATCGTTTCACTTACACACTTCACGATTTCCTTGCATTCTTCACGCCTTGAGCCCGTGATGTGTGCAATGCCCGTGAGATGCCCAAAATCTCTTGGAGACTTGCAAGCTTCACAATTTGGTCGTTATCTTCACGGTCTCAGCCCGTGAACATATGCTCTGAACTGTAATCCATTAAATTTTCAGCACTTTGTCTCGTTTTCGCTCACTTTCGTCCGACTTTCAATCCTTTTGCCCATTTTGCATGCTAGAGCCTGAAACATACTAAAAAACATAACAAAACCTAGAGTAAAATGGCTCCAAAGACGATGCTACACAAGTTTAACCAAAAAAATAAAGGGGTATAAATGTGTATAGAATGGATTGAATCAAAATCCAACAAGCAAATGACCTTGTCTAGTATAGGTTTGTTGTTATCATTGTTGTGGTAAAGTTGTGACAACAAAGGTACAACCATAAGAACATGAAAATAGCAAACATAATCTTGTTTACTTGGTAATTTTGATAAAATGGAATTGGCAACCAAAGGAAAAATGAGTTTAGTTACTTCTTTTGACCCTATTTAGTATCAAGGTTGAAATTAAGAAAAAAACTAGAAAATAGTGGATGGAAAGTAAGTCTAGTGAGATTCAGTCGTAGACTCTTTAAATAAAATTATTCCAACAACTAGCTTGTTTTCCGACCTGTTGGTCGGAATGTAATTTGAACATAATGTATTTATGATGTGTATTTAGATTTTTTAAATTAATTGAAATGCTGAATTTTGTATGACATCAAGGTGACATCGAAATTATTTTTCCATTTTCGAAATTCTTATAACTTTTCACCAATGGTGAACATTGTAATCTTAATGGTTATAACCAAAGTTGTCAAACCGGTTTAAGTCGTTAAGCCGGTCAAGCAAGTGGTTTGAAGTTTAATGGTTTGATTGAGTTCCAACCTGTTTGAGCCGTTTTATACTTTTTCTAAATATATTTACATATAAGATAGAAATTTAGTGACTGAAATAGAATGTACTAACTTATATCTATTAAAAACTAAAATAGTTAAATTCCATAAAAAAACATACGTATCTCAAGATCCACCCACCATCCCTTGCCCCCCCCCCCTCTCTCTCCCTCCCCCTTGCCTCTCTCTTCTTCTCCCTCTCTAACTATCAAACCCTTGATTTTGTAGAGCCAATTTTGGAGCACGACTTTGGTCGGACCTAGTCCAACCAGTTGCCCGATAGAGGTGTCACAATCTTGGTTATAACACTTGTGAATAACCATTTATAATTTTTCTATTTAATGACGTAGTCACTTAGTTGCCTATGTTTGAAAAGAAAATTGACATAGGGAAAAAATAGTTTGTCTGAAAAAGTGTAGCATAAATAGGAAACTCATGATGATAACCTTTAGTCAATATTTATTTCTTTTGCTTGAGAAACAATACATATATAGCAATATCTAAACCTTAAAGTATTATGCACAATACAATGACAAAATTAGTAAGAAAATAATATCTTCCATCCATACTCTATGCAATAAAAGATTATTTATCAACCAATATACTCTAAATTTAGTTGAAGGGCAATCTTATTCTCAACAAAGAAAATTAAACATATCTTGTGGTATCTACCTTGCTAATGCACATGACCCCATCAACGCATCCATGAAAACTCCAGCCCGACTTTCATGATTTGTCTTGTACTGTGTTGAAATATTAAACTAAGTAACTATGAATGATACACCTAGTCAATTACCCTATTGAAATCATCTATAAAAATTGGTATTCATAAATTGTGTTCTTTTAAACTCACCTATTTTTCCAATCATGCCATATTATCAAGAAATTTAGGATTTAACGATTAACCAAACTAAAACTTTCAAAAAACTGGTCACTTACCGTTTGCATAACAATATCGTTGCTTTAATAGTTCTAAAAATTAATACCAATTTAAGAATTCTACATCACATCTACACATTCAATACTTCAATTCAATATGTAATATTCGAATCAATGATATTTGGGTTGCAATTTTAAAATTATTCTCCACTTATAGGAGGACATAAATTAAATTTACTATTAAACTCAAATTAAAATAATCAAAATATGAAAATTAAAATATCAAATAACAAAGAAAATACTTTCGGGAGAGTTAGTGATGTAGCTAACAATAGTGGAAAAGTCATATAATTTTTAGATTTTAGGTTTCCAGATTTTTTATTTAAAAAGATACAAAATATTTTTTTATTGTAACTGGTAATGGTTGTTGTCTTCGTTTGGAAAAACCATGGTTCAAATCCCGCGATTGATGTTTTTTTCTTATGAATGAAAAATAAATTATAATTGTGAAGAGACAATTACCCTTTCTACTTTCGCTCTCGTTGCAGAAAATTTGAAATGCTAAAAAACTGTCCCCAACTATGCTATAATATATTTGTATATTAATAGGATTCCTCAAGAAACTAAAAAAAATTGACTTGAAATGTTCTCTTATTTCAGCTAATTTTGTTGTGTTGCCTACTCCAATTGCCATAACAACTAGTACAAACTGAACTAAACATGTTCTCGATATCTATCCGCAAAAAGACAGAAAATGGTGCTAAATAGTGCCCAAGTCTTCGAGTCGTGGTTGGCTTTGTTAGGGCGAATCCAGACAAATACTTCTTGCGCAGGCCACGATTTTTATCAAATCAACTGCTAGAGCCACATATATTTTGATAATAAGGCAAAAGAAACCGGCCCTACTCATCAATTCGCTAATTGCGAACAAAAAACCGCTAATCCCTACCCTTAATGGTTCTTAATTTGATTAACAAAAAATTATGCAAGCTGCTATCTCCCTCTTCCCTAAACTCTCTCTGTAATTGTCATTTCGTGGGGTTGGGTTGGGTGGCTCTCTTTTTCTGTGTGCGTTGCGTTTCTTTCATTTCTTTTCTCCCCCGGCTCCTTTATCTGCTCTGCCAAAATACCTCCCAGAAAAGAAATTGCCCTTCTCTCTCTCTCTCTCTCTCTCCCTCTCTCTCTCTGTACAGAAGACCTTTATCAGCTGTCCCGTGAGCTTTTGCCCAAAAGGGGAGTTCTCTCCTTTGATTCATAACTACAGGAAAGAGCAAAAAAATTAAAGGAAACCAGAAAGTGGGCAAATGTTTTCCCCCCGACGAATCACTAATATGACTTCTTTCCTCTGCCGCCATTTCTTCTCCGCCTGAGAATCTGAGCAGCTTGTGCAAACGGATTGCTGAATATTGAGAGGTTCAGATTCGAAGAGAAAACTCTCAAACTGGGTTTTTTTTTCCTTTTGTTCCATTCCGGGGTGTAGAACAATGAATGTTGCGCCGGATTGCTCTGACTCTGAGTTCGTCGAAGTTGATCCCACTGGAAGATATGGCAGAGTTAGTCAAAGTTCTCTCTCTCTATTTCTTCTCCTTTTTCTTCCCCGATTTCTGGGTTTCTGATTCCGATCCTCTTGTTTCCTGTTTGGGTTTTCTCAGTATAATGAAATTCTCGGCAAGGGAGCATCAAAGACAGTGTATGGTTCCTTCTTCCTCTGTTTTTCTGCTCCTGCAAAATTTCTTCCGATTTAGGAGGGGCGCCCATTTTGTATTTCTGGGAAATCCGGTCTAATTTGGGTCCTTGATTCGGTTTCTGGGAATGGGTGTCTTTCAGATTTACAGTTCTTCATGAGTTGTAACTTGCAAGCTCATTTTGGGTCTTTGTTTCTTCAGTTACAGGGCATTTGATGAATATGAAGGGATCGAAGTGGCATGGAACCAAGTTAAGCTCTACGATTTCCTCCAAAGTCCTGAAGATCTCGAGAGGCTTTACTGCGAGATTCATCTCCTAAAGACGTTGAAGCACAAGAACATAATGAAGTTCTATACTTCCTGGGTGGACATTGCCAATAGAAACATCAACTTCGTGACTGAAATGTTTACTTCTGGGACTTTGAGGCAGTAAGCGGTTCTTCTCCTTCTCAAAAGTCAATCTTTTGCCTTAAAGGTTTCCATTTTGATGAGTTCCCTTTTGGACCCACTTTTGATGTGCTTTTTTGGTATAGATATCGGCAGAAGCACAAAAGAGTTAACATTAGAGCAGTGAAGCATTGGTGTAGGCAGATCTTGAAAGGGCTTCTCTATCTCCATAGCCATGACCCGCCTGTGATTCATAGAGATCTCAAGTGTGACAACATCTTCATCAATGGAAACCAGGGCGAAGTGAAGATTGGAGATCTTGGACTTGCTGCTATCCTAAGGAAATCTCATGCTGACCATTGTGTTGGTATGCTGAAAACTGCCTCAAATTCCACCTGCAATCTTCTCTTCCATTAGTTCTACTTCAGTAGCCTGAATCTTTGTGGTGGCTTATCAGGAACACCAGAGTTTATGGCGCCTGAAGTTTATGAGGAGGCATATAACGAATTGGTTGATATATATTCCTTTGGAATGTGCATATTGGAGATGGTCACTTTCGAATATCCCTACAGTGAATGCACTAACCCTGCTCAGATATACAAGAAAGTTATCTCTGTAAGCACATTTTTGTCAACTTTTGTTTCTCCACTAAGGGGGGAAAATGAGAATGATGGGTTGCTTGAAGTTTGAACTGACCTGTCTTTCGTATCCTTTCAGGGTAAAAAGCCGGAATCTTTGTACAAAGTGAAGGATCCAGAAGTGAGGCAATTTGTGGAGAAATGCTTGGCCACTGTGTCCCTCAGGCTTTCTGCTAGGGAGTTGCTGAATGACCCTTTCTTACAGATTGACGAGTATGACCCAGATCTCCAGTCACCAGATTATGGGAGGGATGTCGATGAGATTAGTCCCTATATGAGGCAGCCCTACCTTGATATTCATGACAGCATGTATTCTTCTTATAGTAACGGCTATGGTTATGATGCTCATAATGAAGTGGAGTATCATCATCCTGCTGAAATGGAGCATACAGGGATTGACCTCTTCGAGTACCATGATGATGAGGACAACGACGACGATCATCCTCCCAACGTTGATATCCGTATCAAGGGCAAGAGGAGAGATGATGGTGGTATCTTCTTGAGACTGCGCATCGCGGACAAAGAAGGTTAGGGAACTTACAACATACTTCCACTAATGGAAAGTACATACATTTTTCTTGTTTCTGTTACCAACTTTCTTGTGATGGAAACGAAAAACAGAACCAAATGGAAAGTAAATAAGCCCTTAGCTTTTCGTTTGCTTTTGCCATTTGGATTCTCGTCTCTAAATTTGTTTGCTCTTTCTGCAGGTCGTATTCGAAACATCTACTTCCCATTTGACATTGACATGGATACAGCATTGAGTGTAGCAACCGAAATGGTTGCAGAACTCGATATAACCGATCAAGATGTGACCAAAATAGCAGACATGATAGACGGTGAGATTGCTTCCTTGGTACCAGGCTGGAGGCCTGGGCCTGAAGGCCTCGACGAGACGCCTCGGTTTGCGAACCAAACCCTATGCCAGAACTGTGCCTCAACTCGAACCTCAAATGGTTCGCTCATCGATTTCATGTCAAGCAACCCATGTTGCAGAAATGGATGTGCTTCAATGCATGGCAGGTTTGAAGAGGTGACATTTCAACCTGAGGATACAGATCATCATCAATGTGCATCGAATGCTAAAGCTCACTCGCATCATCATCGACACACGTGGGACCAGCATGAGAGCCGTGACATCACTCCAGCAGGGTCTGGGATAAGCCATTCGGATGAAGAGTTTGAGAAGCTTGTTCTAAAGCATGTCATGGAGAATACCGAGATTGCTTCTCCTCCAAGGAAGTCTGCTCAACATGCTAGGGGTTCAGGTTCTTTGCTTGAGCTGGCTCCGTTGGACGGAGACCTGGCAGGAGATGGCCATGAGAGCGATATCCAGCATGAAATACGATGGCTCAAGGCAAAGTACCAGATGGAGATGAGGGAACTCAAAGATCATCAGTTGGGAATTATGAGCGCACCTGTCCCGAATCCAAGCTCCAAGGAAGAAGATGGAACATCTAAAGGTGGTGAGGGTTTGTCATGTTCGGTATTGAAGTCAGCATTGAAGTCATTACAACAGCAAGAGCAATGTAGTAGCCCTCTGAGCAAAAAAAGCTCCACCATTTCTCAAGCTCACCGAGTTCCAAAGAGGGAGCCCCCAGCAGCAGATCAACCTATATTCACTGCCAATAGCTTCTATACTGGTTCTTTTCTTCCAAACTCACTTCACAGGACTACTTCCCTTCCAGTTGATGCTGTTGATGTATAATGTAAATGTACATCTGTTTCCACAGATTTTTAGATTATTATTCTTTTCTTTTTGACCCCCACATATAAAATCAAAATTATAGAGGTCTTTCTCCACTACAATTGGAGCTCCCTCACAGACTGTCACAATGACTTTTTTTTTTGGCTGTTACTTTTACTGCCAGCCTGTGTTAGGAAGAGAAGAGTGAGAGTAACAACAATAATGCATCTAAAAGTCAAGGACATGAAATTATTGCTATCATTGCTATTATGAGTTTGGCTGTTCATGTTGCTATTACAACCACCCTGGAAAATATTTAGTTGCAGAGCCGTGTGGGATGTGTGTTTTATCGAACCAATGATTGTGGATGAGGAAAATAGTTGAAATCATTGCTTGGGTAATATTTATGAAACAAACACATTGTCGCGTACTACTACGACGACGTGAATGACTATCGTTGTAAAGCATTTAAGTATGCAATTTTTAGTGGTACCTATGAAGCGGTGACTATCGTTGTAAAGCATTTAAGTATGCAATTTTTAGTGGTACCTATGAAGCGGTATAACGGTAAGTGTGAAATAATTGAATCACGATTAACCGTGATTTCAGTACATTTCGACACAATCTCCGCTCTGGTTTTACAAATTACGATACTTGCTACTTTTACATTTGATGAGAAGAGATTTTTGAGTGGTGGTGATGGGTTGGACTGGATGATGATGTTGTTGGCTAACATGGTGAGAAGATGACAATCATTGAGGAGAGGAGACTTGTGGGGTCTAATGAGTGACCCCAATCCCATGTGCCATTTTTTTGGCTTTTTAGATGGCCAAAAGATAAACAAAAAGACCACAACCTACCTTGAATAATGAAAATGTATTAGGCAAGGCTTGAGGTGTTTTTTTTTTATATGCAAGTGGAATGATTAGTGATCAAGCTTTGGCATATAATTAATGCATATAATAGGTAGGCTTCCCTTACCTGTTCGATTAAGTTTGTAATTATCTGATCTAAGACCATTTATATATGATTGATTAAATTTGGATAAAAGTTAAAGCTTCGATTTAAGAGTTTTCCTTCCCACCTTTGAAAATGTGGGTGTAAAATAACACGCCAATGAAATAAATTGTCACTTGGATACAAAGTTATTAGAAGATCGTGTGAAAGTTCGTCCTTGGGTGTGGTGGCAGAGGCTCAAAGTGATAAATGCAAGGGAGATAAGTTTGACAAGGTAATTTGTGAAAAATTACTCCCTCCCAATGTGGAATAGAGAGGTCTATGGAAATGTCTTTGCATGAAAGTGTAAGATGCAAGATCGACTAAGAGAGCTGAAAATCTAGAACGAACGTTGCCTCGCCTCTTAAAGCGAATAGAAGGAGGAGTAAACTATAATCCGCCTACTCGAACTCCTCAAACACGATAAAGTTTTGTGGTTTCAGAAATCCCGAGTGCAGTAGTTCATTGAAGAGGATTAAAATACAAGATTTGCTAATTTGCCAGTTTGAAAATTTTGCATTTTTAATCTATTAATTAAAAAAAAAAAAGATAAAAAAAACAGAGACTATTCCTTAGCAACAAAAAAGTAAGATGGGTAAAGAATGATTGCATGACCTCTCCTTCCTACTCAGTTTGTACCTTTGTTTTTCTTTTCTTCTTCGACTACCATGTAAGCTCCCATCTGGCAGCACAGTGCAGTTCAAATACAAGATCAGACAAATCTCAATCGAACGATTATTGACGTAGGCAAAATAATAGGCTTGAGTAGACAGTAGAATCAATACTGACAAAATACTAAACATTGACCAAGTTGGACGAGAACCCTTCAATACTACTAAACGATGCACGAGTACCCTTCAATCCAAATCTACTAAAATTATCATATCCTTCACAATGATTCAATTTCTTCTTCTTTTTTATCCAAATTTCTTCTTATTATATTACAAGATTGCAATAGAACAAAGTCGTATGCTTTTAGAGATTAAGATCTGAACCTCACTGTATTTTCGATGGGTTTATATCTCAAAATCTCAACATAGCTTCGAGCTAATTAAAGGAAGGTAGAGAGAGATGAGGGCAATAACATGGAAGTAGGAGTGAATAAGCCCAATCTAAACTCAATCCCTAGACTGGAAGCGCAAATTGTCAAACAATAGCTCAATTGAGGGAACAAATAAAAGTTTTGGTGTATGTTTGAAAAAGTTGAATTTCGATTGGTTTACTAGAAAAGCTCCAAAAGTTGCTTGATTGGGTGGAATATTAGGGGAAATGTAGGTGTTAATTGGAATATGGGTGTGGGTGTTGATTGAGAAGATAGGGTGACAAGTTTGTTTAGCCAACTGGAAAGGGTTTTTTTTTTTTTGGTCGGATCGAACTATAACTAGTAAATGACAAAACAAAATTCATTGAATTTTAGAGTTTTATGGATTTTAATTAGGCGATGATGAACAATGACAGAGGTAGAAGGAAGTTTTTTTTGTTGAAAAAGAAGGAGAAGGAAGAGAGAACAAAAATATAAAGAAAAATAAGTTAATAATTACGATTTTATTGCATAATTATTTCAATTTATTTTGAATTTAATAGAAAAATAAGTTAATAATATTGAATCATATGAAGAAATTCATTTTAAACAACTTATCACTTATTCTCACAATAACATGTACAAGAATTTCGTATGAAATATAAAAGTATAGAGAAAACAGAAATCTAGGATAACATGATAAATAAAAATATGGGTTAATAGCATTTTGTACTTTTCTATTATTGTAAATTAACATAGCCGGTTGTCGGGCGATTGTGGGTTTGGTGGTATCTGCCTCAGAAACACCCGATACCCGCCTACCCTCGATTCAACAACCCCATCCCAGCCTAATCCCAACTCATTTCACGAAAAAATCCCCTCCATTTAACCTAGAGTCACTCTGAAAACCTAATCTCCACCCTAAGTCCCTCCCTAACCCTTCTTCTTTACCTCAAATCTCGCATTTTGCTCTTCGATTGGCGAGAAAAACTGCACAAAATCCCTACATTCATTGATCACAAGAGCATATACCCAATCAATTGTTAGAGGCCATATCGAGGTTTTCAAATCGAGCCATTCCCGATGGCGATTATAGCACCACTTTCCCTTTATTAACTCTTCGATTTCTAGTTCATCTTTTCCTTCTCCTTCTCCTTCATGCATACGCGTATAAATACTGTAATTGCATGTAGTAAGCTAGTAGTTGCCTGCAATTCCCATTTCCAGTCACAACAATTGCAAGGAGCACAAACCGTAAGTGTTCTGCTTGCCTGTAGTTTGGGATTTGCGAGATTCTATTCAAGTGCTTGTCTGATGTCTCATGTCTAACAGATGGTTGTTTTCTTGATTTATGTTAGGGTTTTAAGGTTTTCGACTAGACTGTTGAAGTATTTATTGATTATTCATGAAGGTATATAACTTATTTACTTGATTATATTGTCTTGGTTCTTGCTAGTATCAATTTTCTATTGATTTAGCATACTTAATCCAATAGCTACTACCTAATGATTGGTTTGCTTTCTCGTGTGATTGATGAACATGTGAGGTAAGATAATGGCAGGGGTTTATGCAGTTTTCAGTTTCATTTTTAATGTAGTTTGTTGGTTTTATTAGCTGTTTGGTTGTAGTGAGTAAACCCACTATGACAGGTTGAAACCCGTCACCCGATGGTTTCGGGCTAGGGCCTCAAAACGCGACCGATATTGCTAATGGGGCGAATTCGGGAAAAAATCCGGTAGCATTTCGGCGGGTTGCGGATAGGCCCTCCCCGACCTTGATCCGACCCGTTGCCAAGCCTAAGAATGGACCCAAGCGTTCCCAGGTCATCAAACGCCTACTTGGGGGGGGGGGGGATAACGACGATTTATTTAGCACCTCGCACAAGCAACATATCCAACAAGAAACCGGTGGGTTTAATTTTAAGCCACTCTGCAAGAGTTGGATCTTCCCAAGATTGGCACCGCAGCTTTTCGGGGAACAACTCTCTTCTTTGTTGCCGCTTAGACCATCCACAATGGTGGAAGGGAAAAGAGGGAAATTTGGGTGGGAAAATAGGGAAATGAGGGTTTGGCCACAATGGGTGGGAAGGGAAAATAGGGTAATTGATAAGGTTTTTTTTTTTTTTTTGCCAAAATCAATTTAGTGTTGATCTCATCACTTTATTAAGATAATTTATTTATAATTTTTATATAAATAGTAATAATTAATTAAGATGAACATTTCGATATAATTTTTTTTAATTTGGACATAATTTTTTATCACTAATTAAATATAACATCATCAATAACGAAAAATATAGATGTTGGAAATAAGATCGTAGGAAATATTGTTGTTAAAAAATATGAATGTTGAAAAATATGATTATTAGCCAATAATATACTATAATCACCGATTAAAACAACTAAACCAATCAAAAAAGAAAAAGAAAACAAAAACAAAAATCATCAGGTCCCACCCACCCCTTTTCCTTTTTCCCTCCTCCATTTGTCCTCTAGTGAAGAGAAAACCCTACCACTTTTTTCTTTCTTTCTTTTCTTTCCTTTTTTCCCTACCCTATTGTGAGATTTCCAACCCTTTTTCCCTCTTTTCCCCATCTTGTTGTGGATAGTCTTGGTGTTCAATCTCACTGCTAGCAAGTGCAGCCTTCACACCTTCAAGTGCTTCCGGGATAATCGTGAACTACCAGAGATTAGAATCTATTAATCCCCTGAGTTGGCTCAATCGAAAATTAACCAAATAGAAAACATCCAATGGGATCAATTAAATGTCATGGGGAAATACGAAGTGTTTGTTTCCGTCCAGGACGTCGACGAACCTGAGTAGGTGAATGCGAAGCAGAGGAAGGCGGCAGAATCAACATCTTCCGATCTATTGGCCACTACCTGTGAATTGTTTAGGGTTTTGTTTTTAATTAATTGATTTGGAACATAAATAAAATCATTTAAATTAAATGAGGGGTGATTTTGTCTTTTTCATTCTTTTTAAATGGTAAATTCGTTACGTTTTAATATTAAAAGGATATGTTTGTGTAAAAATTTAGTAGAAGGGTATATTTGTTAATTTACAATAGTAGAAGGGTATAAAATGATATGCACCCTAAAAATATATATGAACTAATTATCATTAATGTCATAATCAATAAATAATAGAAATTTTACTTTAAAATTATTGATAAACTATTTAAAATTATCCAATACATGCAAAATATAAATGAATCGATTAGCATAGAACAATAACAAATAAAACAAAATTCATCATATACCAACAAGTTAGATAAAAACCAGTAATAATTAAAACAAACGATCGAATAACATCAATTTGCGTAGACTCTCGACCAAAACCTAATGGAAAATTTCCAAAAATACCACCCAAAAACTAAAAATTTCCAAAACTACCACCGATTTCCAAAAAATTTCAAAATAAAACCATTTCCCAAAAATCGTGGCCCCTTATGTCTTTGTATACAAAAACCACAGGGGGTCACGCGGTTTTCGTTCTTATCGGTTGAAAATCACATGGGGTTGCCGCGGTCAGATTGACTGTGCGCCTCCTCAACGATGCGAGGCAAAACCGCCACCCGACCCCGCGGTTTGCCTACGAAATATTTTTCCTACTACTTCAAACAAACGTAAGTTTACGCTCGGATATCCGATCGCAACGAAATATTTTTTGATTCCGTATAACTTTGAGATTTTTCAAGCCGCAAACGTCCATAGGTGGTTTGGTCTCCCTTTCGTCCCGAAAAAACTCCATTTGCTACCCCGAACGAGTAATTTTTTTTATTTCGCCATACTTTGAAATGCCATAAGTTTGTGCTTCGGAACTCGAACTTCATAAAAAAAAATTGAATATGCATAAATTTTTAAGGTCTACAAGTTTAAATAGGAAGGAATTTTCAAAACATAAAATATTTTTGGATATAAGGGATTTTGGGTATAACTTTGGCTTTACTTTTCACAAATCCACATACATTAAGGAAAAGTAGCTATTATAAAAGTTGTAGTCCTTAATAAGTTTTACCAATTTAAAAAATATTGTGACATTCGGATTGCGTAGCACAAAGCTATGACCATCTAAAGTTTGACGAAATCGAAAAATTGCTCATTCGTGGTAGCAAACGACGTTTTTTGGGACGAAGGTGGGACCCAATTGCCTACCGACGTTTTCGCCTTGCAAGATCTCGAAATGTTATGCGAAATAAAAAAAAGTCTTTATGATCAGATACCCAAAAAATCTAGAAAATTTCGCTACCATCTCCAAGAAGTGGCAGGAAAAAAAAAATCGCAGGCAAACTGCGGGGTAGGCAATTTGGTTAGGTTGATTCCAAAGTTAATTTGCTTAGATTCCAAAGTTAATTTTCTTTGATTGATTCAGCAAATGAACAGGATTGGTTCACAGGTACCATTAATAGGGGTGGGATTCGGTCGGTAAACAATTTACCGTTTACCGAATTTACCGGTTTTGGTATACCGAAGTTGGCCAAACTGGTTACCGATTACCGATACCGGTTTGTAACCGGTTTACCGATTACTGAATTACCGGTAAACGGTTACAAACCGGTATTACCGAAATACCGTGAGAAGCAATTTCGGGCGGTTTTTCGGTCGGTTTACCGAATATTTACTGAACCGAATTTCTGGAAGTGGGGTGATGTTGTAATATTTTGATTTTTTTGAGTTTTTTCATCATTTTTGTAATTAATAATTTATTATTAACTCTTATTTACAATATTTTTGAGGCCTATACTTACATTCATGTATGTAATATTTTATATTTTTGGGGTAAAGCAACAAAACGCAGCGTAGCACTAGGGAGTAGGGAGGGGGGATTCGGTATCGGTAATCCCGATTTACCGTCGATATTTACCGATATCGTGTCCGGTAAACCGACTCCCCCAACTTCCCGCTCGGCTGCCGATACCGCCAGCTAGTAAACTGTTCGGTAAAACGGTAAATCGTTTACCGGATTACCGTTTACCACCCCTACCATTATAGCAGCACTATGTATGTACTAAAAAAATACAAATAGAGGACCTCGTACGAATTATATTTTTATTTTTATTTTGTGAGTTGTGAAAAGTTGGCTTCCCATTCTCCATTACCAATAGCAAAGTGTTGAAGAGAGTTAGTTGGGCAAGTGGGATTGGATATACATGCAAATGCAATGCAAGTGAGCGCCTTCTCTTCCCAATTTTTTTTAAGTATTGCTATTGGGGCTTGGAATCAATCTGTTTATTTATTTGGATGATATCCATTTTTGCATTCAATGTAGTCATTATTATTATGAGATTTTTCGGCTAGCTTGGGTTGTCCAGCCCTGCCAGAGTGCCAGGCTTTCGGTTAGCTGAGGCCGGCAGACAAGCCCCCTGATCAAGCTAATGGGGCTAGAAGGCCGGCAACGGGCTCCTCCTTGCCAGATGGAAAGAGTGAGAAGGAAATTGTCCAAGCTGAGAAGAAGGTGTGGGCCCTAAACTTGGAACCGGAGGCCACTCCTAACGAGAGCGCAACAACTGCAACCATGGAAACAGATGATGAAGGAAAGCCCAATAGAGGAATTCCGACTGGTTCACCAAAACCAACAACATGGGATGGAAATAGAGCAAAGCTTTTAAGCGAGGCTATCATGGAAGAAGGGTGGTATGTGGCCGACTTGGATTCGGAGGATGTGGCAATACAAGAGAGAGAGGAAGATGATGTCCTTGATGAAGAGAGCTACGATCCACGTGCCCCCCCCCCCCCCCCCCCCCCCCCCCCCCCCCGCGTTGTTCACAATAGCTCAGAAGAATAAATGGAGAAGAGACTGGTGATCAACGCTCGTAGTTCAAGGACTGGGGAGGAGGAGGGTTCCATACATCCCGCTGGTTCGTCCTCTAAATTCTCTCTGGGCGAAACATGGGGATATTCAGGTCTCTGACATGGATAATGGATGCTATCTGGTCCGATTTTGAAATTGAAAAGATTATGAATATGCTTATTCTGGAGGGCATTGACTTATTGGAGATACCAACCTAATAGTACAGATGCGGTATAGGGATTTTAACCCGTGGACAGCCTCGATCACATCAACCTTAGTCTTGGTGCAACTCCCTAAGCTGCCGATTGAGTTTTGTAATAAAGAAGCGGTTATGCAAATAGCTGAGCTAATTGGACATCCGGTGAGAGTGGACAGAGTTCCGGAACTGGGGGCACGGGCAAAATTTGCGCGTGTTTGTGTGGAAGTTGATCTCATGAAGCCGCTGCTGGGGCAGTATAAGGTTGAAGGAATTAAGTACCTAATCGGTTACGAAGGATTACAACATATTTGTGGAAACTGTGGTATCTATGGTCAGCCAACGTCATCATGTAGCTTCTAGAACCTTGCTCCTATGGGTGATGACTCTGACACAGTGGCGGTGCATGAAACACAAGAGGAGGATCTAGATAATGGCCAAACATATGGAGACTGGATGGTAGTTCAGAAGAAGACTCGTAGGACGGTGCAGAGAGAGCAACTGGCGGGCAAGGAAGGAAGTAAGGGAGGAAATGGGGTAAGATGTACGGTAAGAGCATACGGCTCTAATCGCTTTGACGTCCTGCATGGGACTGTGACGAGGGGGTCGTGATTAGGGAGAAGGAGGATGGGGAGGTAGAGGTGGCAAATGGATTGATCCATGGATTGGTGGATCCATGGATCAAATGGATTGGATCCAATAGATTGGTGGATTCATGGATTAGATCAAGTGGATTGGTGGATTATCCATGAATCCAAATGACATCCTCAACCAAGTACCAATATGTAAAATGTGAAAAGTTTAGGTACTAAAATGTCATAATGAAAAATTTTAGGTACCAAAACATAAATTTCCAATGATATTTTTTGTATAAAATTAATTTTGGGTATCAAAATGTAAAATATAAAAATTATAGGTACCAAACCGTAATTTGCCATTTGGATCCATGGATCAATCCATGAATCCACCAATCCAATTGGATTTGGATCAAATGGATTGGATTGGGTGGATATTTTTAATTGGTTGGTGGATTGGATTGAGAATTGCCACCTCTATGGGGAGGTGACAAATGAGACGTCACAGGAGGTTCGCAAAAAGGATTTGGGCATGAGCCCGGGAAAAATAAAAAAGATAGTTGTCCTCTTAATGGAATGGGTTCGGCAAAGGAACCCTCGAAAGCGAACAAAGGGGAACCAACTCGTGATGGGTAGAAGGGGGTGAAGGTGGGAACAATAAAATCAAAACCGAAGGTACAAGAGTGAATAGAGAGGAGAAGAACCTGCAAGCTGAGAAGGTGAATGCGTTACGGGGGAGATATCGAAGAACAAACACAGTAGTCCCAAGGGGGAGAAGCACGGTGTGAAAGATGGTGATAATGGTGCGGGAAACCCATCCCCTTCAGGTAATAGATGAAGATATTGAGCTATAACTATCGTGGGTTGGGGAGCCAGCGAGAAGTGAGAGCGTTAAGGTCACTGTTGCGACGTGAATCCCCGACTTTAGTTTTCATCGCAAAAAATAAGGAGAAAGTGGATCTCCCTGATGCAGACCCTTCTGCGCCTTAAAGTACCCTACAATTCCACCATTAAATCCTCCACTAAATAGTGGTGTAGTAATATACATTTCAATCCATTGAATGAAACGAAGAGGGAACCAATTAACTAGTTAAGTAATTGGTCATATATATATATATAGTGGCGTCTTCGGTGCACTCACTTTTTTGGGTGCATTCAGTGCACTCACTTCATAACCGTCATTTTAAACATGCGATTTATGTCAAAATGATGTCAATCATCACTTATGATGTGATGAACAATAATGCACATGAATTTGCACAAAAACCATTGAAGATTTACTTTATTTGAAGGATTTAGAGTTAGAGATTTAGGGTTAGGGTTTACAATTTGGGGTTTAGGGCTAGAACTCAAAATTAGAGGTCTGGGGCTTAGGATAATCCACTAATTAGTTGTTATCATATGTTATATAATCATATTACACTAATTCTACAAATTAAAATTCAAAATCCGACACCTTAAGACTAATTTTTGAGTTGGGTGCATTGAACGCACTCATTTTTTGTGAGTGCACCGAAGTAGTCACCATATATATATATTTTATAGACATACTCAATACTTTGCATAACCACTCAAGAGTCAAACATTCCTCTCTTTTAGGCTCATAAAAATAGATCTCAATATTGATCCTATACCGTATAATTGTGTTTGTAGAGTGTAGACCGTAATATATGGATGTCTAATTTAGATAAAATCATACATTATGTTGAATGAAAACCTGAAAGGAAGCTAAATGGGTATTAAAATACCCAAAGAGCGTGAAGAAAGAAGAAGGTGAAAGTTGATTATTTTTTATTTTTTTGAAATTGACATGTAATTAAGTTAACGTTGCAGTCAGCAGTTCCGTTTGCCACATCATAGAAAACTGACGGAGTTTTACGACCGGTGACTAACGGGGAAACAATTTATAAAGTTAGTGGCGAATAATAAATACAAATAATTCAAATAACAAACGTGAAATATTTATGTAATTTGAGTGGCGAAAACCTATAATTTAGCCATTTCTTTCGCCTAAAATTCAGAGGACGGTATTTGATGGATTTTATATGGAAACATTTAACATTGTGCTCCACAAAGACTTGGCCCCACGGCCTGACGGCAAATTGCGGAGGCAGGACGGAGACGGGAAGTTACACCGAACAGATAGGCCCAGAATGTTGTGGCCCACAAGGAATCCATGTGCGTGCTCCCTATCACTGGGCCCGTTGGTTCCAATCCCACTAACAACGCGAATGGGCCCACCCGAGAGGATCATCTCAATACTTTTTGGATCGACATAAAAATTTGGCTGGCTGGCTGGCTGATGCTGAGGGCTGAGGCTAGAGACAGACACACTTCCACTTCCACACGATATTTATATTAAATTATTATTATTAGTCCTCTTTTGTTTTTCTGTAATCAAAATTGAAAGTGAAGGTGGGGTTGGGTAGGCTTGGGTTGAGCTGGGTACAAAATTTGTACTATTTTGGCCTTTTGGGCGCACGGTCTTAATGCTATATATATATATAGCAAGTAAGAGATGTTATGTACATCTATGTACACATATGGTTGGTTAATAGTGGTTTGAAGAATCTTCTTACTTATTGATGATATGTATAGTTTCCTATCAATCAGTCATTCGGATCGAAAATATCAGTTACTGGATAAAAAAAAATGTCAGGCGGTTTAGTTGTACGAAAGGGTTGAACCACGACTCAACCAAAATTTTAGTAAAAAGTACTCTATCATTAACTTTTTTTCGAGCATAAGTTCCGATACAGTTTCACAATAATTTGTTTCTACGGTATCGCTAATTAGCTTGTTTTCTCAGCCACGAAAAAATGTTATTGTTCACTTTATAAATTAAAAAATGAATAATATCTTTGGTAGTGATGAGACATAAAGAAAAAAAATAAAAATTCATAAAATAAAACATAAACAATATGCGAAACTAAGATTTGAAATATCTATGACACATAAAAAAACATAAATGAGACCAATATTTCTTTTAGCAAAAGTATTTAACGAATGATTGTAATATAGAACCTAGAAATTAAAACCACATAGATGTCCCAATATACATCTAAAGATTTCACTTCATAAACCCCAATTTAATGTTTCCACCTAGCTTTGGGGTGGATTTAAAAAAAAAAAATCAAAATCAGATTTGATTTAATGTATGGGTTTGAAATAATACCAAATTAAGCTAGACACGATCAGCGTAGTGCCATACACCAAACACAGACGCACTTGCCTTTGTCGTTCTTTAAGGTGGAGGATATAGATATCCCAATTGTTACCACAAGACCACAAGTGTCCCGGCTTGGAAGCAAATTCAAACAGAACATATATTTTTGCTTACGGGCAAACAGCTGGCTAGAATCAAAATGTTGTGTCGTCAAATTTTAATCACTAAATACGTACAGGAATCAAATATGTCGGAAATAGATGTTGCCGACTTATTGATGATATTTTTAGTTAATAAGAACCAACAAGAAGGACAGATGGGATTTTGGATTGAGACCAAATTTTTTAACGAACCAATTGGTTCAAATGTTCGAGTTGTTGAGATATGTTTAATTATGAATTTTATATTATATGTTAATACACCACCTCAAATGAACGCCACATATATATTGATTTGTCGTTTGCATATGTCCAAAAACCATGTGTTTGGACAAATGAGGCGGACCCAGACAGACCATTAGTTAGACACTGCTTTTTCTCAAAGGTCAGCACTCTCTTCATTCTTTTTTTTCTTTGCGCGTTAGGCTTAACCCACAAAGAACACTACAGGTGTCTGTTGCATATATGGTGAAATTGACAGTAAGAATATCGATTCATATTTCGTTGACTCGCCTACCCCTCAACACAATTCATGATATGACTGAAATCTCCTTTAAGTGTTGACTAATCCAATCTAGTAGCTCCCATTTAAACCAGGTTCAATTGTTAGTGATTATATATGATGGACGATTGAACCTCTCCCAACAACTCGAGTTATTGGGACCAACTGGTTTATGACATGATATTAGAATCTTATACGACCAAGAGGTCGTGTATTCGAATTCCAATGACCCCATTGATGAAGCACATGTATTTTCGTATTCAGAATAGTATAGTAGCTTACTCCAAACTGAGCTGACTTACCCGCTCTACTGCAATTCATCCTTCTTGGGCTTGCAGTGCACGGAATGAGCTCGATCGACTCTTTTAAATAATTACAGCCTGAATAGCTGGTAGTAAAGTTCAGCACCAATCTTGGGCCGGTCAATAAAAAATGTCCCATTCTGGCCCAATATTAAAGTCCTCACTTTCGGCTAGTTGGGCTGCCGTCGGCGTATCGGAGCCCAATCTCCACCGCCTGTAATTTTGCCTCCCCCGGCGATTGTGTCCAAGTCCCCGAATCCTTCGCTAATCTCCTCAATCTCCTTCACTCACTTACCATCATCTCCCTTCTCCCCCGCCGCCATTGACTGTTGAAAACTGGTTACGCTCAGTGCCCGCTGAAAAGATTGGCTGATCTGATCTGCTTCGCAGAGGAATTTCAATTTCATCGCACAGTCGAGAGAAATTCCGCCACTTCATGCGGATTTGTAATAAGCTTCCCTTCCACCACTGCAATCAACATCGCAGAATCGCTCTCTCCAGCGAACCTTCATCTGTATCCTTTTTTCCCGTATCGCCATTGGATTCCTGTTTGGCCGTAATTTGATTTGGATTGAAGAAAGACGAAGAAGAAGAAAGATGGGCCAAGTTCAAAGCGAGCATTCAGTAGCTGCTTGTTCAGAGGAGACGCAATTCAAGCCTCAGGGCTCCTCTCCTCCTACTTCCATGAAATCTCTCGTAGCAGGTGAACTGATCGCAACCTTTTTCTCTCCTGCATCCTTTAATTTGATATAATAAACTCCAATATCAGCTCCCCGTAGCTTGCACTATTTGATTCTTCTTTGCAACCATACGGCTTTGGGTTACAGTCCAATTAGGATGCTATTCAGCATCAATGGCAGTGATCTAGTGTCCAATTTGGGTGCTCTTCGACTTCTTCAATGGCAGTAGACATTTCTGTCCAATGAATAATGCATATTCCTCTCATGTTTATTTGAGTGAACAAATGAGGAATTTTAACTGATTCGAGCTTCAGACAGAAGGATCAAGAAAATGATTGAGACTATTCTTGGTTTTTGTTGAAGATGATTTCCAAGTGTCCTGATTGTATTTGCTTTTCCGTTTGCTTGTGCAGAAGCTGCAGCCTTTGGTGATTCTGCTGCCGTGAATGAGGTCGGTTTGCAACCTCTAGATTCCCATGGGCTTCCTCTGTAGAGATGGTGAGCGTGAACTACTGAGGGATTTATCTTTTTGTTTTCTCTATATTGGCAGTCTCAAGATTCCAAGGCCGAGAAGGCACTCGAGTGCCCCTGCATAAGTGAACTGCGAAATGGCGAATGCGGGGTTCAATTTTCGGATGCTTTCCTGTGTTTTCTCAAGAGCACTGCTGAAGAAAAGGTGAATCATTTTTGCTAACCAGAGAAAACAGTATCCTCGTCCTTGTGAGGCTGAATTTACTTCTCTTCCCATGAGCTATGAGTAAGTGTTGCTGAATCAGATGGCGGATTGTGTCACATTTGTACCTTGTTCCGCAGGGATCGGATTGCGTGCGGCCGTTTGTGGCCCTGCAGAATTGTATCAAGGTGAATCCTGGTGCATTTTCAAAGGATGTTGTAAAGGAAGAAGGAGAAGAGGTGAAGAAAGAGGAAGAGCCAGTGAATTATAGGATCATCCCTCCCTTGTGGGCAAGGGATAAAACACCTTCTAGCCCAAAGCCAAAACTATAAGAAAGAGCCGTCAGAGAGTGGAGTTGCCACTGTTTGGAAACCTGATGGGTAACAATTACCAAACCGTAGAAAAGGAAGGAAGAAGGGAAATGTAACTTTTGGTTTCTGGTGGATTATATAGTCAACCGTTCTTTGCACCCATGATTGTAGAATGATTGGAACGATTCAATACTACAGTTCAACGATCAATTTGTTCATTGCCAGAGACAAATATCTTAGGATATTTGATTGGGTTTTTCCCCCCAATTGTCGATGTCGTTACAGACTAGCAACGGGAAGATAGCATGAAAAAAACTGTATGCAAATGCATATCATATAGTAAAGTATATCATGTACAAACAAGATTCTATCTTTATTTACAAGTTTCAGGAGAATGCAGTGTGCCATTTGCCAGGAAAAAAAACCTGCACCGTCAATAGGGGAGACAAGCCAACCATCAGAGCTTTGGGCGTGTATATATCATTTAGAGCTCTCTCATAAAGGTCTCAACAGCGAGTAATCTTGCAGCAGTTCTCGTTCCAACAGCGTGTCGTTCTCATTTTGAGGCGTCCACAGCACCTCAACTGCCTGTATGTATGACAAAACCACGAACAAATCATATAGATCAATCGTGGGATTCGGGTGACAATAACCAATTCAGAGGGATTCAGATGATTTGCTAAATCTCTTACGAGTATACTGTCAGAGGGAATTGTCGCGAGCTTGTGCAGAGCTTTCTTTAGGTCTCCAACACTGTTAATGGCGGGTAGCTTGTGCACCCCATCAGCTGCCACCAAGATTGTTATCTGCAACCATTTGAATGACACAATCTCAATTCTGGAGACCAAACTGAGGCTAAGAGTTGGATGCACAGGTCAAGGTAGTGCAAGGTCTAAAATATGAACTACTACTACTACTACTACTACTACTACTCACCACTATGTATTCATTGCTAAACTCGCTTGCTCTCCGGCTTTTGGTGCTCTGCCTCTTAATGCTGTTCACATTAACAAGCGTCTCTTCATCAAACTTACCCCGTTCTTCAATAGAAAGTTGGTTGAACCGTTTCTCACCTTCCTCCATACTTCGCTTCATATCTACCTGGCAGTATTGAAAAATATACATGCACGAGTATCAGCACACCGATGAATACTATACTGCAGCATATAAACCACAAGGCTCGTTCAAAGAGACTACATCGCCCTCAATGATACCATGTTGGAATTACAAACAACGAGCATCTACGGAGCAAAATCAAAAGACTAGCAAATGAATGTCAGAGAGAGAGAGAGAGAGGGAGAGAGAACTTACAGCTGAATAGGCTGAGATGCAATAATCAGGACGCCGAAGCAAAGAGAGTGAAGTCTCTGCAACCACAGTATGCAGATGATCATGATCCGATCTTCATCAGCTATGGAAGCTAACAATATTTTTCATAACAAACAAGGCAAAAAAAATGGTTCTGGTCTTCCCATATAAAACCCCAATGAAAATTATTAGCTCCATACCTGTTAAGACATAGCTTAGACCCTTTGAGGAGGATGTATCTGCAACTTCTGCAATCTTATTAAGATCCCTCTGAAGAGAGCGTGCCAGTCCTAACAAGCCAACCTAAAGGACAAGAATCATTAGTTTCAATCCGATTGTAGAATGCACTAATCGCAAAGAGTTCCTTTCGCAGTTGAAGCCCCCTAGGTAAACTATTACGACAGTCCAGACACAGGATTTTCATAGCAACCGTTCCATTTTTAATTCAGGACAAAGAGAGAGAGAGAGAGCATCCGTAGCAGGCAGAATCCTCAGTTCAACAATTTTAATGGAGGCCATAGGAAGTACCTGAAGCTTGATAACGCTGGTTTTCTCGGTAGCTGTTAGAATTCCCGCTTCATTTCCATCGGAAAGAAACCCGGAGACCAACACAAAGGCAGCGAAACCAGCTACAATTAGAAGCAAACCAGAGCCAGCACCGGCGACTACCGAGCCAACGTAAATTCCCCCACCGCCCAACGGGGACGGGCCGTAGTAAGGCGCGGAGTAGGAAAACCCCGAGCTCGAGCCGTGAGGCACGGAGTAACTCCCCGACGACGACGAGGAAGAGGAGCGGGAGAAGGATCTGCCGCCCATCCTTCCACCAGAGGCAGCGAATGCGGAGGCGGGGTCGTACATCAGCAGCGCGGCGACCAGAATCGCGGCGATCGCTGGCTTCTTCATCGCCTGCAGGGCCTTCAGGGCGGCGTTGCAGAGTCTCTCGAACGCACTCTTCTTCTCCTTCTTGAACTCGGCAATCGCGAAGCTCGAGCCCGACGTGGTGGCCGGGGCATGAATGTCGTTGGAGGAGTTCAGATGCTTCGCCGCCAAGGAACACCTGATCGTGAGCCTGGAAGCAGGTTTGGAGGCGGAGGATTTATTAGCGGCGGTCCTGAGAGGGAACGAGATGGAGGAGGAGCGAATTGCTGTAGGCGGCGGCGAGGGAGGGAATTGCTTCCATTTGAATGGGTTCCACTGGAGGAATGAAGCAGTTGCCGCCATTGGAGGGGAGCTCGGAGAGGGAGTTGAACGGCGGAGCAGAATTGGGGGGAAGAGATTTTTTTTTTTTTGGGGAAATCTATGGCGGAGCTGGGTTTCTGATTAAATTGAGAAAATCAAAAGAGTTTAATAATTTTCCGGACCGAATAGTAAACAATCCAATCCAATTTTTGGGCTTAGATTTGAGGTAAAAAACCGAGAACTCAACACCCAAAACCTAAGGATAATTTGCATAAACGGTCACAAATTTTTACACTTAGTACAAAACTTAACCAACTCCTCACCCTTTAAGGCCTTAGGCCACTCAAATCCCACAATCTCAATGTAAAATCAAGACCGAATTGGAAACGGACCGGATCAAGACCGGACTGTATCCAATCCAATCTTCGGTCCTTATATTTTCAAAAAGACCGGACTGGACCGGATCAATTTAGGTCCATTTAACCGGACCGTATAGCCACCCCTAATCATCATAGAGAGGTTAAGTAAGCATCCTAAGAAATTAATTTGCCTCATGACGGTTTACTCATAATGTCGTAAAAACCAAAATTGTATAGCAAAATAACACGACATCGGAAAACCCAGCATCAAATCCTACAGAAATAAACACGACATTACAGTTCCCGCATAATGTCGTAAAAACCGAATTTGTATAGCAAAATAACACATTAGGAACGCACTAGTTGATGAAAGATCCGGTGATGGGAAACGAGCAAGAAGAAGCAGGTTTTGTGTAGACTATACATAACATAGTACAACCGACTCATAGGAGTTTGTCGAGCTGTGCTTGCAATTCTGGAATGGGCACCATGTTGATGGTGGTTTGCTCTTCAGGGGAGTACTCCGCTTTCAACAGCGACTGGACCTGAATGTGAGCTTCGATAATGTTCGTTCTGTGTAAACAGCAACAATGCAAATCCAACGTCTCTTTAGAGATCCCAATCATAAAGAACACCAACGAGTTGACATAGGATGCGGGGGGGAAATGAGGAACATACTTGATGGGCTTGAAAAGTATCGTTCGAGTTGAAGGGTTCTGCAGGTAGAGCTTCATTTTGGCCATCACCGGTGGCAGCTCTTTCTGGATGGCAGCATGAACCTGTTGAGAGAGTTAAGGATATCGAAATCAAGAAAAATTAAGAGCAGAAACAAACAGTGATGACGGCAGCTCTTTCAAGCTAACTTGGTGAGAAAATCTACTTACGACTATCAACAACAAAATACACGCATAGTAGTCGATTCCTGTAACCCATTCATTTCTGTTCCTATCATTCATTAATCATTACTACAGCGCAAAGCGGTATCGAAATGTGGAACCCACATTGTCAAAGTCAAGGGAGCTCAGGGAGTTGCATATGAAGGAAGCTATTTGCTCTGTACAGAAACCTTACCTTCTGAACAAGTTCAGCCACCTTCTCGGGAGAAGCAAAAGCTTGATCCTTGATCGGCTTGGCCATGATAGAATCTGCTCTTTGATTCTGACTACCCGCAGACAGGGAAACTTTCACTGCCGTCACCTATACAAGGAGCAGAAAGGATTTGCAACTGCACTCTCGTAGCCTTAAGCACATGAAACAAAAACTGGAGAGCAAACATCTATGCAGCTAAAACTGGTCATTATGGTGGACACTTTTGTCCTTCATCTATGCTGCCCTACCCAGAACCACCGACTCCACAATGGACGTGTAGGTATTTTCATGTCAGACACACCAGGTATTTTCACTCATTGACAAGATTATCCTGGGTGTCCCAATTTCACTAGAATGCAACTACATGTAATAGATTGAACCAAAAGTTACTAAGGTTTCACTCGAATAAGATTTTGAGAGCGCCTACCTTTGTTGCAAATGAGAGCATTGGATCAACAACTGATTTAGTGACCGACATGATGAACTCCTCGCACGTGGCCTTTAGGCTTTTCTCAAGTTCCTGCAGATGAATAAGAGCAACTTGTTAATATGCAAAGGGCAAGAAAATATAAATCAGATAATTTAATTTCATCATGCATACCACTACTGCAGTAGTAGTTTGATGAAGAAAGGGATTTCAAGAAGATAAAATGAGAAATCATCACCAAACCTTTTTGGCATCAACTTGGCTTTCTAGCACTCTAGGAGATAAGGTTCTTGCCAAAGAGGATGATCTTGACCAATCAAATAGTGAGGTCTGACCTCTAAGTATCCGTCTCAGGTGCTCCTGGATCATGAATGCTAATGTTAATAATGCAACAAAATCATTAGCAATTTTCATCTCAGCATAACCAGAAGATCAAACAGAGTACAAGAAACAGACTTTAAAAAAGATGCTTTAATCTATGCTCGATGCTAAGTATAGAACTTCAATTGAGAGATATATCAGCCTAATTCTTGCAATGGTTATCTAAACTGATTGGAACTTCAAGTTTCGTTAACAAATGAGAGAAACTAACCAGTAAATGAGAGAAATCTAGCTCCTTGTGTGTGACTGAGAACTCTATATCAAAAGGTGCAATCTGATATACCCAGGATTGCACGTTAGATTGTATCCACCAATAGAAAGCCACAAAATCATTGAAATTGAAAATTTAGGAGATAACCTGCTCCCTTAATATTAGAAGGTGCTTAATAAGGAAAAGCTGCCCATCCATTGCTGTGGTTCTCCTAGCAATCAGCCTGCTAGCTTTCTGTGTCACACACGAAGATTGATTCAGGGAGTTGATGTTAATGCATATAGAACTGCAGTATGGATACATAATAGAAATGTGCATCATTTAACTTACTTGAATGGAATCAGCACAAACTTCCACTGCTTCCTGTCAGACAGCAATGCAAAGAGAATTTCGGAAAGTCAATTGCTTAAAAAGTAATGAGAATACCACCAATGATACAAAACTCTAATACCTGTGCCAAACCAGTGAACACAGATTGTTCAAGACAACGGTACAACTTAGAAAGGCATGATAAAGTTTTCTCCAGAGGCGGATACCAAGATTTAAACAGCTCTGTATTTTCATCAACCTGCAAAATATAAAGATGAATGGGGAAATAATGAATGGTCGATAAATTGTAAATATTTTCAACAGCTTGGCCTACAGACTCCAGTTTTTCCCATAACCAATTAATCACAAACCAGAAATTATAACAATGTAGAAGGAGACAGAAAATCCGAGTATCTGAGGTTTTACCGAAGAAGTTTCAGACGTTGTCTCATGAATCCGTTCTAGCTTGGCAGGGTAATTCAAGTCTTCGTCAGATGGAATGTAATTTGCTATCTGCAGGAGAAACAAGTCCACTGGCATTAGGAAGTACTAAAGGTCTTAGAACATTGTCATACTTCTTGACATAACATCTTCCAAGAATGGGATTCAAAGCTTAAAAAACAATTTAATATACCGAGCTTTATTTCTCAGAAAAAATAAACACCAAGCTACATGAGCTTGCAAAAGTGAACACAGAACCCCAATCGTATACCATACTTTCATATACATCACTTGCATAGGTGAATAGAAGTAACAAATAAATAACTACCTCGTCACGGATATGAGTTCGAGCACGGAATGTCAGGCGTTCATGAACATCAGCTAAAATCCTTTCCAGTGTCGGACGCAGCCCAGCAAGTGACTCGCTTCTCCTGCTAAGCTGCTCTCCCAAGACTTCAACTTTTAGTATATCAACAAGTTCACACAGAAGATCAACATTTGTCTCATGTATAAGTTTTGGTCGTAGGGTGTCATACAAGTATGTTGCCCTGTAAAACAAAATTGGAAGTCATAAACTGAAGCACGAATTTACACCAATAACAAGCTCAACATTTACAGCCGCAACAAAGATGGTACGGAAAAAGGAAGAAAAAAAAGAAAGATAAAATCTCGAAAAAAGGAGAACTCATGAAAAATGATATGAAAAAATCTTACAGAGAATCTATCAGTGGAGCCAAACTAGAGATATCTTCTGAAGAAGATGGGAAAAAGTGATCAAAGAGCTGTTGCTCAAGTTGACATACCTGCAATTATGGAGGTGGACTTAGGAAAATGGATAGAAGTCTTTCATGAAATGGAAAGAAAAACTAGACATGAACATGTACCTTCAAGGAGCGAATTTCCAAAACCACGAAGAATAGTGAATGCATAGGAATTAAGTGAGCAACATAATGGCTAGACAAGAAAATTAATGTCCATAGTGGTGTAACATAACAAGGAGGTTCTAGTATGGCTCTCCGTGGATCGATCATGGAACCACAGCAATGGCTAGCCTAGTATTAGTTTGCATAGTGCATATGAAGCCTGCAAGCTATTTGAAGAGAACCATATACATGCCCCTCATCTCATGCAGATAGAGTTTGACTAGATGATTCCCCTTTGATACCAAGCCAGTAGCAATGATACCAGTAAGAAACCAAATTACTAATGCCAGATTTCATGGCATACATAAAATTTCTAGGTGAATGGGAAAATCTAAAATAAGGGACAAAAAGCTAATTCATCAAATCAACCAGCGGGTTTAAGGGTTAACAACATTACCTGTGTCAGATATGCACAACCAGATCTAGTTAATGATGGCAAAGCTTCTTTCTTGGAAAACTCAGATATCCGTTGCTGCACTATGCCTTTTATCTTCAAAGAGAAAAATGAATTGCAAGGGTCAAACAAAGCCAACAAATATGCTGGTGTACCCCAAAATTAGTGAGAGGAAGCTCACCAACGAAAGCCTCTGCTCGCAATACAACTTATGGCATTCTGCAAGCATCAGTACGTGTTCTTTTCTAGCAGATCTACCTTCAATCTCCTCCAGTATAGGTTTGAGCTGCCAAGAATCATCATTAGGTGAGGTCAAATTGAGCAAACAAATGAGAGCAACTCCGGGAACTAGTCCATTGCATATTTTATGCACCAGTAGGCAAAGTAAGAAAATACCTCACTAGCAGCTGCCTTGAACCGAACATAGATAACGGATGCTTCCACACCTTCAGACATAGATGATTTACTGCCACCAGAGCTCCGGATAGCTGCTTGGACCTGTTGAAGAGAGTATGATTAATCAAGGCATGAACATACGAATGAGCAGCAGATGCCTTAGATCATTGGTGGTTAAATCTTTTTCTTGCATAAGAATGTTTCACCTGAGAAGAAGCGCCTTTCAAGACTGAAAGAACATGAGAGCGAATCATGCCGAGGGCTCGAGACTGATAAAAAACGAAAAATATCTTAGATGTTTCAGACCAGTGAATTTTTTTCTGTCATTTGTACAGTCTACCACCAATCATAGTGTTTAGTGAGGTACCTGCAGTTGCCGAAATTTGAGCAAGTAAACACTTGATTCGGCATATTGTGGATTGCTTTCAACATACCTGGGAGCAAAAATGATAAAATGACATTCAAACGCAGTCCAATCAAGATAAAGTTACATTATCTCATGAACAAGCATATGTCGAATATCAGCAGCATAAATAACCAGCAGACAGAGGAAAGATGTGTACATACGCTATACACTCATCCAGCCGCTTCAGTAGAGGTAGAAAGTTTCCATTTCCAACATTCATGTTTGGAGAATAAAAATTGGAAGAAATCTGTAAAGGTGAAAATCATGAGCCTCGGAAATTAAAAAAAAAAACTTGATAACATCGAAAGCGTTAAAACAACAGTATTAACATTATACGTCAAGAAAACTGCTAGCACATCATTATCTAGAACATAATTAACCTGACTAAAGAGAAAACCACAAAAAAGACTGGACATGTAATGTTCTAACTGTGACTCTAGTTAAGAGAGGTTCAAACCTTACATTCTCCAATTCATCAAAGTATCTCAGTTTACTGCGAAGTGCATCTGCAAATTCCACTAGTCTTTGCTTCTCTACTACCTGCAATAGGAGACAAGAAATGAGGCAACCACATAATGGAACTACATTATGAAAGGCGAGCAGGCTTTTAAGGAGTAGTTTTACTCTAAAGACCAATTAATGTAGCTCAAGGTTGAGTTGCCAATGATGTATCACGTGTAAATGACACACAAAATATTAAGATGCACATGATAGTACACTGGTAAATTAAACAAAGAAAAGACTAATCAATTTCTGGCTTTACGACAGAAAAACTTCGACTGATATGTCCAGCTTGTTTGATTCCAGATTTCTATTGGTCAACAAGGGATTGAATAAAATTTCACAGTTCAACAGTTAAACCTTTCTAGCAATGGCTGCTATACAAAAGGAGAGCTAGTTAAATGATCGTAAAGGAGGAGGCTATACCAGTCTATCGCAAGCATCATGGAGAGTCTTTGTCTTTGTAGCTACTGCTTGGTGCTGCAACTGTAAGCTATTGAAAAGGTCTAGTGTTTCATCAACCTGCCACATGAAAGGTGCCAAAGTATCCATAAGGACAACATAACTAGAACACATAGCAATTGCACTAAGAAGCATTAGAAACTTCCAACCTACCTGGCGAAGTATATCATCACAAGTCTGAATGCGGTCTGTTAATGTGCTCACGTAGTGCTGATACTTTTCCTCTGTCTAAAGACGTAGAATAATAAGAACAACCAATCTATGTGCTCACAGATCATTATTGATCCATACCAGATAATAAATCCATTAAGAAACATATCTAACCTCAGATTTCATGGCTGATTCAAGATCTGTGAACCACTTGTAAAACTGCAACCAACACATGCAACACACTGAGATAATTTACAAAGACATCTCTCGTCTTGTCAAATCAACGTAGAAGTTTATTTCACATGTAATGTGACTTGTAAGTCACTTCTCAATGAGACTGGTCAGCAAAAGCAACCATGGATGGTAAGATCAATAGTCTGCTTCCCCAAAGCTCGAAGAAGCAGAAAGCAGAATAATCATTTTCTATAAGGTTTCCTAGTATGAATCAGACACTTCAGCCTCGAACCCCCTTTAACAAGTGTCTGTCCTAACTAGAGAATAACAAGATGCCTTTCAACTGAAAATCCCCCATAACAAATGCTCTATACAGAGAATGTCACAGTAATCAGTACACTATCTATTTGCATAACTGCAAAGTAAATCATAGATAAGCATGCATAGACTTACTTGATTCGTATTGACTAAAACTGCTTCAATTCCTTGAGTTTCTCTCGTAGCACTGTCCTTAGTAGAGACAGTCAAGCCGCCATTCTCCGGTCTTGGGGCATGCTCTAGGGCCTGTAAATTGCAAGCAGCAGTCAGTATTCGCAATGCTTTCCACCAAAAAGCTCGTAAACGACCAACTAAGCAAACACCAAGAAGCATGGACGAGGTGGAATCCCATGTTATACCAGATTGGCAGGATACGGCCGCTCAGCAACAGCACGAGAGAGTGAAAGAATCGCAGATTGCTGCTGCTCGGTGAGGGGAGCATTCTGCATCACAGAACCCGCAATTAATCAAATAAAAGCGAAGTAGCAAACTAAAATTGCATGAATCCTACTCATTTCGCCTCATCAAGCTTTCCCAGATATATGACCCCGAATCAAAATGCGAACGTCTCAGTTCCGTCGCAGCAGTTACTCCAGATCCAGAATTTTTCATTTCGAACTACCGGTGCCGATACCAGAATTACAAATTCATGGAAAGACGATGAACAAGGACTGAGATCCAGAAGGATCAGAATAGTCCTAAACCGATCCGCGGACGACGCAGATCAATTGGACCGATAATTCTACATGCAGAAGGAGAATAAGGAGGAAATGGAACCTGTTCCCAAGTTGAGGCGAAGTTGTATCCCTTAGAAATGGCAACGGATTTGTGGAGGTTCGATGAAGGACTTGCTTTCGCCGCCATGGCAATCACAGAGCAGAGCAAGATCAAGAAAGAGTTGGAGAGAGCTTCGGTTGCTTCTACTTATGCTGCTTCGAAGCTCTGCGTTTCAGAAATTCGCGCAGCGGAAAGCGTACAAGAGTGTAAGCGGAGCTAATAGAGTCTCCCCATTGCGATTCTGGTGTGCTAACTATGAAAGAGCATCAGCTAAACCATTCTCTCTGTGAATCTTAGACAGAACGGCAATACCTCCACCATACTTGTTTCAGAAGAGACCTGCAAGATGTTGCGTTCCTTCCTAAACGCTCGCTTATCTAGTTAGTTCGGGAAAACAAGGCCCATCCGAGAGAGGCTCAAAATGAGGATTGGGCCCATAAAAAACAGGCCCAGTTAAAATTTTCTGCTTCTAGGGCAATCTCCCGTTCATATAAAATAAAGCTACGAAAATTAGCGAATTCCTCTTCCCTTCCGCTGCTGCTTCAACTTTCTGAAAGGGTTTTTGCCGAGTCGTATTTTCGATCACGAAGAGCAGCAGCCATGGCGGACAGCAGCAAAGTTGAAAAAGCGGTCACCATCCGCACGCGGAAATTCATGACGAACCGCCTCCTCTCCAGGAAGCAGTTTGTAAGTGTCCTAGCGTTTTCTCTCTACTTATTTTCCGTTCGCCTGCTGCGTATCTGCTGTAGTTCTTTTGGGCTATTTTGGTCTGCCGGTGATGTGATAACTAGATATTTGCTACTCTTGACGGATTCGGAAGAGTTCCGCTTGATGAGTTTTGTATCCACCAAGATCTCTGAGGCCGTGTATCTCCATGAATCTCGTCTAGTTCTGTTCGGCTCCTTCCGAAATGTTTTAACTTTCTAAAGTCTGCTACGAAAGCTTTAGGGTGAAGTGCACATCTTGCTGCTAATTGGACACTTGCGTTGAGGATTCGTCTTTTCTATTTGTTATGCGTTTCTGTTGATGCCGCTGTAGGTGCAGCATTGCTGCTATTTTGCTATGGAACGACTGCTTTGTTTTCTGGGTTTCTTTGGTTGTTCCGTGAGGCTGGTTTTTCAGATTGCCACTGTTTTTCTCTTCTTTTCTTGCGGATGTCTTTTTGATAAATTGTTTTATTGTAATAGAATTCTCATTCATCAAAAACTATCATAGCATATCAGATTAGCCTTGAGAAAAATGGGTTTTTGTTTAACCTAATGATGTAGCTAGTGGTGCTTCAACGATGACATCCAAGTTCTACCATCTCTTAGATAACTGGATGTTGTTATAAGGATAGCTACATGTTCTTAGGTTATCAATTATATCTCTGCACTTTGCTGCCAAGGGCATTCTCGAATCAGCACACTTGAATATTGGTTCTGATGGCTTTTATTGGTTGGTGAACTTAGGTGATAGATGTCCTCCATCCCGGAAAGGCCAATGTCCCCAAGGTATGTCAATGCCAGAAGCTTAGTTTTAATCCTTTATGTTCTCTTTCTTTAATTTGTGCATCAGGCCTTGATGAGTTTCACTTAACTTACCGCTCTTTCCATTGTCTTCCTTTTTTTAAAGGCCGAGTTGAAGGAGAAGTTGAAAGATATGTATGATGTGAAGGACGCAAATTCTATCTTTGTGTTCAAGTTCAGGACACACTTTGGAGGTGGGAAGTCCACTGGTTTTGGGTTGATTTATGACTCTGTCGACAATGCAAAGAAATATGAACCCAAATACAGACTGATCAGGGTATGGCATCTTTTTGCATGTTACGCTTTGGGCGTGTTGTTCCAGTTTGAGTGCTCAAAATGTTGAACGTTCCGTATCTTTCCTTGCAGAATGGACTTGCTACCAAGGTTGAGAAGTCGAGGAAACAGATGAAGGAAAGGAAAAACAGGGCCAAGAAGATCCGTGGTGTGAAGAAGGTACAGCCTCATATTGCTTGCTTAATAAGAACTCAACTTTTTTCCTTCCTTGTGTCTCTGCCGTTCCTTTGAAGCTTCCCTAACCACCATTCTCCATATGCTTGTGCACAGACCAAGGCTGGAGATGCCGCCAAGGGTGGGAAGAAGAAATGAGCGGTGGGAGATTTCTCTGATGGTCTTATTTTCATCATCTTTGTGCCTGCCATATGAGATCCTGTTGGAAGCCTGCAGCACTAGACTTTGTTATGAATCGATAGGATAAATTTTGATGTTGGTAGTTTTGAGTTCGAGTGCTGGATGTTGAAAGATGTTATTTGGTGATGAATTATAAATTGACAAAACTCAAGAGTGGTATATTCCACAGGACGGAAAATTTTGAAATCTAGTAAATTTATTTCAAACTTTATGTTTCTCATAGCTGCTTTCCTGTTGTTTTAGCCATTGTTTGCAGATTCTTGCTCCTGTGATAGGATTGCAAGCTGTAATTGTATCTAGAAATTACTTTCCGTCCATAACAGGCACACCCAGAAGCCTTGCCAAGCAGAGGAACGGGGGTAAAATGAAAAAAGAAACAAGAAGTATAAGATTTGAGTATACAGGCGGTGAGTTCTTCAATATACAACTTTCTAAAGAGGAAATGCATACATCAGTAAAACTTGTCAGCAAAATATATATTAGAATGTGCCATGTCTCGACAAACACAAGAAGCGCGCCCATAATCTTGATCATTATTAATGGTTGATTAACTCATGAGGGGATGAATTGTTCCCAAGACATTTTCAAAGAAATTAGTAAGTGAGCCAAAAAAATGTTAGCCAACAATGTCATAACCATAATATATTATTATTAAAGATCCTATGGAAAAGCAAACAATGAATTGTTATCAATTTCCTCACATAAAAAAAATAGCAATATGTTTGGAATAGTAGAATTAAGCAACCGGTTTTGAGCACATAGAAGTATGCTACTAGGGCTAACTAGCCTTTCACCAAAAGCATACTTGGAAGCTATAATAGACACTGCAATAGCAAGTATGTCTCTAGCAATCAATGCTAAAGTCGGATACTGCGACTTATATGCATTCCACCACAGTAAAATGTAATAGCAAGTAGTACTCAAACGTTGCAACATACCTATCATAATAGGGGGCTTCACAACATTTGTATCGAATGTGGTCGTTATGGACATGAAAAAGCAACGTGTCCAACCCTTTTCCGTCCGGCAGCCACAAATGCCCCTAACTCAGTGAACCCACCCACACAGGAAGAGAGTTCCACTTAGTTGGGCAATACAAGCATACACTTTTCCCATACTAACTAGGAAATTGTCTAGCATCTAGTACAAACTTTTCTTTCCTTTTACGGGTTGTTGTCCAAAATTCCACACTATGCGTCTACACTCTTCTTATCACATCCAAACCATCCTTAACAATCTACTTAACATTATGAGCAAAACACCATATGCGTATTTTAGAGCAAGACCACATCAAATGCTCAGAATTCAACTTATGACTGACCACAATAATCAATGTGTCATTCGTACTACAATTATATCTTGAAACCCAGGTCACCCACAAATAACCACCTACTGCAAGAATGTCCCGTTAAAGTTTGACTACACAAGCTTGATTCCATATTCTAAAATTTATAACACCCAAACCTCATTCCTTCTTAGGTATGGTAAAAAATTTCCAGACAATCACAACTCGCTTCCTTAGACTAGAACCATCCACATCCCAAAGATAGTTATTACAAATTTCTCAATTTCATCCAAAACAACCTTAGGCAAAAGGAACAGGTTCATCTAGAACTACAACATATCAGCCATAACAGATTATACCAATTAGATTTTACCTACATACCTATGAAGCTTTGCCCTACAACTCCGAATTTTTGTAGTGATCTTATCCACTTGCACTTGACAGTCTCGACTGGAGAGTTTCTATGAGATCAAAGGAAATACCAGATAACGAACAGTAAGCTCCCCATGAGAAATCCAGAAACCCTTTGACAATACCTCTTTCCCAGTAGTATCCAAATCCTAACAGGAAAGTTAGCTTTTAGTGGGGTTGCATCGCAAGTCATATAGCTTATAGAAATCCTCCAGAACTTTTGTTATCCCACTAGACCATGAGAGGAACCATATGTGAAGACCCAAAAGGTCATCAGCAAAGCAAAGATGGGTTATCCCTAAAGCTTTGCATCTAGGATGGATGGGAGTAAAAACTTTCTAGGTCAGGTTTAGGATCGGATAATGCATCAACTTAAGCTTCCTCCAGAACAACTTCAGCAGCACGAGCCTGAGCAAAAATGTCTGAGTATTCATTCCTATTAAGATCCTTAAGCCCCTTCTTCACCCTCTTAAAATTCCCAGAGAAAGTATAATATGGTAAAACAACCACCCTTATACTCCAAGCTTCCTTCAAAATACAATTATAAATAGGATGCAAAAGCGCCAAAAGTTAAAAAAACGTGAAAGGTTTAGGCAAGGAACCCACTTTGGAGTTAAGCACAATAATATACCAAGTGATCTGAAACCCTTGGTACAATTGTACGTGTTGAACTATTTTTTGAAAATGTTTCCTTACTTTGATTTCAAACAATCTACCATCATTCAGGTTTTCAACAAAATAAGCTAAACAAGTTTTCATTTTCAGGTTTTGTTTCTCAAGAAACAGTAGTTTCGGCTCCATCATGATTTGTTTCTGTTGCCACAATCACAAGAAACGAAAATGAAAGTAAACAAATCTTCATGATTTTCATCCTCTCACAAATTGCGACCTCGTGGAATCTCATCACGTCACTACTATAGTCAATACCTCTATCACTATTAAATTATTCTTTGTTAATTGATCACTAGATCAAATAATTTTGATTTAAGATGTAATATAGATATAGTCATTTGATAAATACCTCTTTAATTATGAGACGTTCTCCCAACGACCAACGTTGGTGCTAAACGCCAAACGAGTCAATAGAAAGGAAGATAGAATTATGAAGAATATCATTCTTAAGTAGCACTTCTTGTGACTTATCTATTTGATCATTGGCAAAGTGGTTGAAAACATCCAGAAACAAATCAATATATGGTACCAAGAAATCATACCTCGCAAGACCGACGATTTCAACGAGAGTAAGGGAGAAGCTTAGCAAGAAGAGTCTGTAGTGAGTCTCTCCATCTCGAAGTCAATTTTTTCAAAGAATTTCACGAACTGGAGACAACAGATGCAGCGAAGGAATCACGGATTGGATTGAGGGATCTGAATGGGGCGGCGGAGGAACTGAAGAGGAATCAAATTGGGCGTTGGATTGGGTCTTGGAGCCTCTGCTTCTGCTCTCCGTGAATGGAACTGGTTCTTGACATGGCATCAGAGTTGATTTGTCATTGAGTTCACGTGTTCAAGTTCTCACAACCACCAATACTAATTGTTGTCTTCAAGCACATGGTAT